ATAGATGTGGTCTTTCTCTCTGAGAAGGCTGTCAAACTGACGGTGATTCAGGCTTCTGGATCGGATGAAATTAACAGTTTGGATGACCACCTTCATGACGTTATCCATCTTTAATGACTTGCAACACAAAGCCTCCTGGTGCAAAATACAGTGAAAAGTCAAAAAATCACATCCTCCATTTGCAGATTGCACTTTCTCTCTGAACTTTGTCACAACGCCTGCTTTTTTCCCGATCATTGAGGGCGCACCATCTGTAGCCAGGCTGACAGCGCGGGACCAGTCCACTCCGACCCTGTCCAGCGCGCCTACGAGTGCGGTAAAAATATCAGCTGCTGTCGTTGTATCTGTCATCGGCACCAACTCCACGAACTCCTCGGTGACGGTCAATGTGTCATCAACTCCGCGGATGAAAATGGCCAGTTGTGCAACATCTGTAATGTCCGTGCTTTCATCAATTGCAACCGAAAACGCAATAAATGACTTTACTTTTTGCTTCAACTGACTGTCAAAATCCACTGAAAGATCGGAAATCCTGTCTGCAACTGTGTTTCTTGTCAGGCTGATATTTGCAAAAGCCTGCCGCTTTTCAGGGCACACAATCTCCGCTGCCTTCATCATGCATGTTTTTACAAATTCACCCTCACTAAATGGTTTTGAAGCCACTGCGATTTCATTAGCAATGAGGTAGCTAGCTTTCACTGCAGCGTCACTGATGTCTCGGCTGTGAGTAAACACAGACTGCTGTTTCTTCAGACCCGCCAACAGTTCATTCACCTTCTCTCATCTCCGCTGTCCTTGAAAGTTGTCATATTTGTCGGCATGAAGACTCACATAGTGGCGACGAAGGTTATATTCTTTCAGCACTGCAACATGCTCTGAACACACCAAACATACAGCTTTCCCATTCAATTCCGTGAATAAATAGGATGACCATTTTTCTTGGAACACTCTGCACTCTGCGTCCACTTTTCTCTTTTTTGACAGAGACATATTGGGGCAATGAGGGTGCCAAAGCACATAATGTTAAAAGTAGAAGCCGTAATAAATATTGCGGGCAAAACAAAGTAGCTCATTGGCTGCACGTGCTTGACCTACTTGCTCTGCCCCGGTATAAACAGTTTGCTTGCTTAACACAATTGCTATTGCGCCATCCAGTGGACGCAATTGGAACAGCAGTTTATTTTATTGAAAAATTGCAGCGCATTTTTATACTTTACAAAATAAAATAAAATATATATATATATATATATATATTTTTTAAATCATCTCAAGGGCCGGATTAAACCCGTTTGCGGGCCTGATCCGGCCCGCGGGCCGGACGTTTGACACCCCTGGTTTACACCTACCAAAAAAACTACAAATTATGTTTCCAGCCACCCAACATTGCACTAAATGCAGCTGCTCTGTATCGGAACTCATAACTTGTTCCATACCAGAGAATGGCAATGGCTCCTCCCCATGGTTAACAGGTACTAATACATCTTCCCTATAAAGGATTTTACATTTCAACTTGATTCTCACAACTCTGTGATTAGGCTGTAGGTGTATGAGGAAAGGGGGATACCTAGTCAGTATGGGGGCCTGCCTGAATTGATTATTATTTATTTTATTATTAAACTTTTATTTATACAGGGTGGGTCATTTGCAAGGGAGCCTTATAAATATAAGGAGATATAAATAATATCAATAAAATAAGTACAACAAATTCACATATCACCTCCCTTAATTTCAAGGTGGCCTGAAGGCTAATCCATGAGCTGGGGGCACAAAAACTAAAAGTATTATTCCCCAGGTCAGTGGAGACCCACGGGACCTCCAGAACCAGCCAGCCCAGGGAGTGGGTCTGAAAATTACTGGATCTCCAGTTAATGCGTGAGCTGAGGTAGTGGGGGAGTCTCTGAAGAACCGCTTTATGTACAAAAAGTAGCCAATTCTGGGCCCTTCTGGTAGTCAGAGACTCCCTGCCAACAGAACTATACAAAATGCAGTGATGTGTACGAAAATTGTCCCGAGTGATAAAACACAGTGCTGAATGATAGACTGAATCTAAAGTTTTTAAAGAAGAGGCTGTTGCATGCTTTTAGATTATATCACCATAATCAAGTACTGGGAGAAGCGTTGCTAGAACAATCTTCCTTCTACTTTCCAAAGCGAGGCATGATTTATTTGTGTAAAAAAAATCAATCTCACCTTTTTTGTCAGTTTTCAATGTGTGTTTTAAAAGAGAGCTTATCGTCATGCCAAATACCCAAGTAGTTATAATGGGGAACTTGTTCAATTTGGGCTCCCTTCAATGTGCAAATATGCAGGTCCTCAGGGTCAATATTTACAAAACCTAGAGAACAACAAACTTGGTTTTATTAGCATTTAGCACTAGTTTAAGATCAGTAAGCAATTTTTTAATTGAGTCAAAACCAATGAATGTCATGAATGACCTGCTGTACTGAGGGGGCACAGGAGTAAATAATTGTATAATCCGTGTAGAGATGAATGTTACATGTTTTCACAGATATATAAATAATATTGGTCTAACTAGTGAAGAGAACAGGGCACAAAATTGACCCCTGCGGCACACCTTTCGTAATATTGTGGAAACTAGATTTGATACAGTCAGTAAGCACACATTGTATCCTGTCCGTTAGATAGGCATCTTGCAATTGGTTCAAGAACTGATCTAGGCCTATTTCAGACAACCTTTGAACAAGAAAGAAATGGTCAACTGTATCAAATGCCTTCGACAGGTCAATCAATAAGACAGCATAATGATTTTTAGTCTAAACAATATAGCACATCATCTAAGACAAGTGTAGCTGCAGAAACAGTGCTATGTTTAGGTCTAAAACCAGATTGGTGCTCATTAAGAATAGAATGAGAAGTTAAAAAAGTTAAGCTGAGAGTTGGCCAGGGACTCTAAAACTTTGGCAAGGGAAGATAGCTTGGAAATTGGACAGTAGTTATCCAAGTCAGAAGGATCTCCGTCTTTGTGTGGGGGTAGGACTTGTGCCGTTTTCCAGATCTTAGGGATAACCCCAGAAACAATTGTCAAGCTAAAGATATAGGTTAATGAGTCTGCAATAAGTGGGCAGAAAGCTGCAGCAAAAAAGGATCAAGTGAGTCAGCCCCAGTGGATTAAAAAAAAATATATATATCTTCAATAAGGCACTTAGTACATCATAGACATCAAATGGTTGAAATGAAAATGAGGAATGTATATCTGGGAATGTATCGTTCTCTGCAACCTGGCTCGAGGTGAGTAACGGAATCCCTCGGCTGGAATCAGAGTTTTCAGAAGCTATTTTATCAAATAGGTGGCCTGCTGAGGTAAAGTGGTAATTAAAAGCATCACAAATGTCCATCTTATCTGTTATGGGACCAGAGGCTGTCATAACCTGCTGGGGTAATGAGGGAATGGAGTTTTGTTTCAGAGATTTGACTACCTTGCAGAAGGCAGCTTGATTCCCACCATTCGTAGATACACAGTTCAAGAAGTATGCAGATTTTTTTTCTTCTAACCAGGGATAGACATCTATTTCTCAAGCGTTTGAAGGGCTGCCAGTGAGACGTAGAATCAGTCAGCCTTAACCCAAGCTAAATGTATCTCCTGAAGTTTATCTGATAGTTCATTCATGACCCAGGCATTAGCTCAATCCCTTACCCATAGTTTCTTGAATGGAGCATGCTTATCTGTAATAGAGTTGAGCAAAGAAGTAAAACAATTTAGGGCCTGATCCAAGTCAGAGATATCTAACAACCCCCCATTCACACAATCCCAGATCAGAAAATAATTATTGCCTATAATTTCTCTTTGTAATAATGCAAGGGCGAGATTTAGGTAGCTTTGCATCTCTTATGCAGGCAACGAAACAATGGTCACTAATTAGCAAAAATGTCATTAGGGCATTTGTCAAAATAATATCTAAAAGAGTAGATTTTTCAGGGTGTTTAAAGTTGGGGCGGGTTGGTTCATTTATCAACCGAGTTAGATTTAGCTCAATTCAGATATCTTTCAGCCTGTCAGAAGCTGGCATCAAACAATCCAGATTAAGATAACCCAAAATGTATAATTCAGATTTAGCATAGTTAGATAGCAAGTCAGACAATTGGCTAAGAGCACATGTTGAGGCAGAGGGATACATTCCCACTAGTGTAAATTGGCCATTATTACCAAGGCCCACATTTAGGACTAGACATTCAAATTCCTTAGGGACAGAGTTAGTGTCCTTTGTAAATATGGCAACTTCTCCACCTCTGCCAACTCTGTCAGATCTAAAAACATTATAACCTGCCAGAGACACATCCGGCATAGTCTTATTTAGCCAAGTTTCAGATATTACCAGAATGTCCATGTTGGCTTAAGAGGCCAGAGTTATAATAAAATCCATTTGAGATCAAACTTCTGGCATGCCACAGCTGTGGGATTTCAGATCAGACGGAGTCTCTAATACAAGCATAGGCCTACTTTGCTCAGTTGGTAACCCCTTATTTGAAAATAACATAGGGCTAGATTGATACAAGATTGTCTAGAACTGTATCATTGGGCCTATGCTTTGAGCGAAGACATGGATTAAAACAAGTAAATGAGGGTTACCTGTTGTGGGCCTGCAGTAGGATGAAAATGCTGTTCATTTATAGTTGGGATTACCTGAGCGGAATTTGGGGTGTTGATAATCAATGTCTTAGCGCAGCCTTGAAATGTGAGGACAGGGTCCAGGCACCAAGATGCTTACATACTTTATTGCCTTCCAAATCAAACTAACATCAAATTAAGGTAATTGAATCAAATGACTCAGAGCTGACTCAACAAACAAGACATCCAAACGAATTCATTAAATGGACTTCAATCAGTAAGGGATGAAATTGGCCTTCTGCTGAGACAGGGGTGGGAGGCAGAGGTTCAAAAGGTCCATATTTTATGCTTCCTGAGATGTGGCAACAGCTCTCTCTAACCAACAACACTAATTAAAGCTCTAGCAGGGGATCAATAAAGAGATGCAGGCAGGTGTAAAATGTCACTTGTCTTTGGTTTAATTAGGATCACAAACTGTGAAAAAAGGCATCATGGTCATTATAAAATGCTCTGGCCACAGAAGAGCAGAGGATATTGAGAGCTATAAGCAAAGGAAACAGCAGATGGTAGAGGTACCAATGGTGTTGTTGCAGAGTGAAGTCATCGCTGAATGATGTCCTAGATGTTCAACGTCCTACTCTCCACATAACTCCAGCAGGATTTTGCGGTAATCTCCAGATGTGTCTCCCTAAACAATACAGAAACACTCAGATTACGTCAAGAAAACACAAAGAAATGGGCACAAATATAACTTTTACTTTTTATGAGATAAAGTATTACTTAATCTCGTGACCGGGGTCTCACCTTGATGAAGGAATGGAGAGTCTTGCCGTATGCCTTCAAGAACTCGATCTTGATGTCCAACATGTCAATCTCGGCCCGAGCCACCATGATTCTAATCAGGACGCTGTCTGTAGTTCCCAGACCCTGAGAAGACAGGAGGGAAGGAGCTGCCAACATTCTGATACATTCTGTCTGATAACCCACAAGTGTAGGCAGATATGCACCCTCCATGGGAGGTGTGTTTAAAAAAAGTCTCAATTAAGCTTTACCTTCATGGATTTATATAACCGCTCTGCAAAGAATGCTGGCTTGTTTCTGAGGCATTTCACTGCAAAAAAATAAATCAAATCAATACATCAGGCATGATAGCTCAACAAGCTTTAATTTAGCTTATTTTCATCAGAACTGAGCTGACTCTCAGTCTTATCTGTCTTTGGTACATTATTACAAGAGGCACTGAAACAAATTGGATCCGTCTGACCTATTGCCAAAAATACATTCTCCAGCGAGCCAGACATCTCCCTCTTAATGCTGTCATCGATGTCCCTCCCAGAGATCTTCTGATACTCCTTAAACACTGAGACAATGAGGTGAGAGAGAGATGTGGAATCAATCATACTGTTGTAGTGAGTAAGAAGCACATCACAAAATGTTGGTTCCTCAAATAACCAGAATAGGTCAGCAGAACAGTGTCTGTGCATTACATTTTGGGCCAAAGTCAGTGTGGAAGTAACTTAACTGAAGAGAAGTGTAAAGCGTAATAAACAAGCAATAAACAAGTAGAATGGGGAGATTTGTTGTTGTTGAACGACTGTGAGAAGGTCACTTCTGGTGATATGTAACTTGTTGTAACTTGTCACTCTGATCTTAAAGGCGAGTCTTGGCAGAAATGTAAAAATATCTATTTTATTATTATAAAATATTTTGGGAGTGGCGGCAACGATGAATATATGGAAAACACTGAAATATTTATGAGGGGACAATACCTTGGAGTAGGTGGTTTCTGTTCCTCACACAGAGCACAGTGAGGAACTTGACCTCATCTGTTCCCCAACGAGCCTCCCCAGCCTCGTAGATATCCTGAGAAACCACAGCAAAAATATTTCACAAACCCAAAAAGAAAATCTCCAAACACTGACTGTTTTGGGACATATTTGATGTCAGATTAGGTTAAAACTATGTCTAAAATTGATCTTACTGTTCATCTTCCTAACCGTAGGGTGATCCTGATACCCCAGCATGTGCTACTATGCGAGTTAGACAGAGCCAGGTCACCTCCTCTCTGGGTCCATATTCTCACCTTAGCATCCTTCACAGCCTGAGCCTCATCCACAGTGTTGCCCTCATCTCGCCCCGCCTGTCAGTCACAGCACAGAGACAGAGGCCATGTTAGCAAAGAGTCAGACAATGACGTAACCATTACCTGGCTATAAGAGACCTCTAAAAACTACAAACATCCATTATGTGTTAAATTGTACACAAGTGATGAAGTGAAGGGGGAGTGACTATTTCATTGACAACAATTAATATACTGTAGTTCTGTTTGCTTTCCTTTGATTGTTTGAATATGAAGGTCAACCAGGTGTGTAGTAAGAGAGGTCAATATTGTCTATTCTCACCGTGAGCAAAGAAACTAGAACTCTCTGGAACATTCCAGAAGTATCACTATCAATATCTTCCTCCAGGCTCTGTCCATGTTCTGCCGTCACACATGATTAAGCAAAAAGTAGGAGTTAAGAGTGATCTGACTCGGCAATTATAACCACAACACTTGAAATGGTTTGTGAACACCCTGTCAAAAGCTATGGCAGGCAACAAAAGTTGAATATTGCTCTATAGAAGACACTAATAAATCATTCATATCATGCATTGTGTTCATGTTGTGTAATTCATTGTTTGTCAGTACACTCTAAAGAGGGCGAGACACTGATATCTTAGATCAGAATTCCTCTTTATATACAGTGATCAATACTAAAGGTATTGACTTGTACCATACACCGCATGTGATACCTCTTCTACAGATGGAGATGCAATACATGGCACAGAAAGGCTGAGTACTGTGTAGCTACTACCTTTGATATAGACCGTCGTGATGGCTCTAATTTCAGCGTTCGTCCTTGAGGCCAGGATATCAATGAGAGCAGCCTCCTCTGTTCCAGCACCCTAGCGTTCAGTAAAATAGAGATGTGGAGAGCTATGTAAGTACTTCAAAGAGTAGTGTGATGCAACACATTTATGGGTTGTGGATGAGGTGAATAGCCCAATACAATGTCAATAGCTCGAAGATGTACAGTATTGAAAAGCGTTACATAAATCCCCATTGTGATGGTCTCCCTAGCAGTAATAACCTCTGACCTTCATAGCGTTCTTCAGCTCGTAGGCATCATACACAGGAGCGGTCATCAGGAGGCCCAGCACCACCTTCTCAAAGTTCCCCGTCAGCTCTCCCTGCAGATCATCTGCCAGGTCCTACAGGGACAGAGACACAGACATTTAAATGGGTCTCAATTGACACAATCTCCTGCCTAGAGCTCAAGTAAGCATAGACTATTGCTCTCATACACTCATATCTCAGAGGTGATAAACAAGGCTTTCAGAATGTTTAATCTGTCAGGCCTTGGATTTCCTATATGCTTCAGACATTCCAGATACAAGTCTGCTTCCAGAAGGGAGTGGCTGCAAAAGAGCTGTACACAGAACGTTTGTAGAGTACACATTTAGCTTCTTCATGAGTCTGCCTGCCTGTGGGCGTCCCCATGGACTGTATGACTCACTGTTTCTGACCAGGAGGATTCCACTAGCAATCTTTGCCCTTCCCTGTGGCAAGCTTCCTCATTCATGGGACCTTTTAGATAACTTTATCAATGATGTATTGTATGCCAAACTCTGTGCCAACAGAGTAAACATTGATCAGACTTCCCTTTTAGTTTTAAAATGTCGAGTTTAGTTATTGTTTAACATGGGGCCGGTCATTCTATAATCTCCCTACTTCACTCAAACACAAAGTGCAGTATCCTGATTGACACTTGTCTTCATTTAAAATCAGGTTAACCTCAACCCTCATGAGAGAGGTCTTTCCACCTGACCTGTGATGGTAGACAAGCTTCTCTCTGTTCTCTGAAACACATAACCATCTTTGTGTAAGAGTTAATGATCAACCTAAGGCACCAACTGTCAGCACAATGTTACCATTAACAACAGACACCACCACACCCATAGAAACACACACAAAGCCACACACCAGAGGGGTATACTACAAAACAGCATCAATAAGTTAGCCAGCTAAATTTGATAAATAACCAGAAATATTTGTTGTTTTTCCAGTTCATTAAGAAAGCTAAACTTAGATATGTGTATTTGGTTGTTGAGCCAATTAGAGAATGCCCATTTCAGGCATATCTTTCTAATTAATAAAAAGTTATTTTATCATATTTAGGCCAGTTAGCGGGCTAACTCCATGATCCTGCTTTGTAGTATACCCTCCCATGACTGATCACATGATACATATAACTATTTACACAATCCATACACTCTCCTGTCACTATAAAGTATTAAATATCTTCCCCCCCATTACTGGAGCTGGTGGTATTTAGCTTTTGGAAAGTTTTGAGAATAGTCTGATAATTCAAACTGGGATATGAGAAATGCAATAACACAGGTAGAACACGTCAGTAGAACACTTACCTTCCCCACGGTCTGCTTGTAAGCCTCTTTGATGCGTTGCCTCTGAGCAATGGTACGACGTGCCAGGACTTCAATGACAGCTGCCTCATCCGTGCCTATAAGAAAACATCACAGGGTTACATTACTGTATACCTTCACATTATACTGATCCATTAGATAAAATAACTTGCTGGTGATAAAACAGCATCAATCACCATTGAAATATCCTAAATATCTCCCTGATATCACACAGTTATAAAGAGCTTAGCCAGATTTCAATGGTGAACAGACACACTTCCTGCTTCCAAGCTCCTCTGTCACCCTGGAAACACCCTGGTCCCACAGGCACAGTTGTTTCTCAGTGTATGTGCCATCTGTTTCTAATACATCTCACACTAGAGTCAGGTGAAACCTATTACGTCTAGCTAACAGCATCAGCATTCCTAACATAGAGCCAAGTATACTATCGTGTAGGCTTGTGTTTAACATCTCGTAACTTGTTTTCTTACAATGCTCATTGTTTTTTCTGCATTGTATCCCTACAGCATAGACCTGTAAAAAGCATAGATGCAAAATATTATACAGATGCAAAGATAATGCAATCCTACAGTAACTTTTGACTAGAACAGGAGAAAGGCAAAATAATGATGAAAAATAAAACAAATATTTGAGTCACAAAGACTGGAGTGGAGAAGGAAAGAAAGTAATCCCAGGCCACACTCAGAGGACTGAATGAGGTCTTAGAAATGGAAAGTAACTACAATCATGTGTAGGGCCTGTAGAGGGCCTGTAGAGAGTTCTAGAATAATTACAACTGATTAAAGTAATAGTAGCATACTGTTCAACATGGTGTTTTTGAAGCTTTCATTGAAAGGAAAGACGTACAATTATTTTAAAATTAAGACCTATTTATCAGAAGAAAAAAGGGGATCCTATCATACTCATCCGAACTTGTTTTCTGAATGTCTGAATCGTTTTTAGAAACAAACAGCTAGTCATTGCTTAGAATGTTGGGATCACTCACCAGCCCCCTTCATGGCTCCTCTCAGTCTCTTTACATCCTCCTCTGCGTTGAAGCCAGCGGCTTCAGTCACAGTTCCACGGTTGCCAATCTGCAGAAACAAATATTAAAATGGCATACATATAACTCCCAATGAATTCAGCAGCTGGAATTTATCCAGTCACTATCCAACACTACTGCACTTTGAGTCATAGGCTATAACCCTCAAACTCAACTCTGGACCTCGAAGTCAGTTCCACTGCATTTTTTCATTATTCACGTCTAATCAAGGACTGATTTAGACCTGGGACACTAGTGGTGTGTAATTAATTATCAGGTAGAACAGAAGACCAGCAGGCTATGGACCTCTTAGGGTAAGAGTTGAGTACCACTGGGCTATAGGTACACACATGCACAAACATACACATCTCAACAGGTGTGTGTGTTTGTTCAGTAACAGCAATAAACGTATTTACTATGTACCGTATAGGTGTAGCCTATATGTCAGACTGCCTTTGTTGCTCTTTGTATACCGAGGCTGATACTTTCAAAAAGCTGTCTTGTCTGTGCTGTCAGTAGGACTACAGCAGTAAACATTTGTTTGGATAATTTAATTGGTATAGTACGTCATACATCTTTTATGGAAGCTTCAATGAACATACTGTTCATAAGTAAATCATTTCCAATACTAAGCAAAAAAATTAAATAATGTAAATCTGATCATGCAAATGTTGAACACTACAATCATTCATAGTTCACTCACACTGCATGCTACAGTACACATGTTTGGGTGCTGAGACTTACCGCTGCCATTATGCCAGTGAGATAGAGTTTCGAAACTTGAGCAAGAGAGATGGGAAAAGCTATGAAAATAAAAAGTTATATTATTTCTCAGCATTGTTAATAAACGCATATATGTCATTTTTCCTGAGATGTGCATTATATTACCATTATCCATACAATACCTCTGACCCTTGAGTAACATAAAGATGGGCTAACGAAACATAGACCATCTACATACATTTGTTAATTCACACTTTGATCAGTTGATCAAAAGCAGATGGTCCCGTTGCTACATTACCTAATCAGCTCTGTAGAGAATAACAATGTGGTGAGCTTTCACAGCAGGAAAGACTGGGTTAAATACTCATTACCCTCATTACTGTCTAATTACTACTGAATGTGATAGTGCCCTGAGAGGGTTTTACCCACACACATTTCATAATTTAGTCTCCTGTGTTTTCTCAGTGGAACTCTCCTCACAGGTCAACACACACACACACACACACACACACACACACACACACACACACACACACACACACACACAGCTCAGAAAGAGAGAGCCAATGGGTCTTTAACTTTTTCTACTCTTAAAAATCTACTTACCAACTGAAACAATTAGCCTACAACACTTCCCCCAAAATACATCAGTCTCTGGTCAGAGCTTAGTTCTTCAGGGTGTCACTCAACATAGTTTATGTTGTTAATTATTATATTAATAGGAGACAACATCTTTATATTCTCACTTAAAATTTTAAAAATTGCCCTTATAGTCCAGGGGTTGTTGTCCATTTTGTGCCTCTTCATTAACCAAGGATGACAACTCTTTCAGGAATTTACTGTATACATCTGCTCAGTTTGGGGTGGAAATACCTGGCACAAGAAGAACCCTTTTGACCCCTGCCTCGGTCACACTGCCATATCAAAACATTACTAGATCTAAAGTCCCACCTTTCTTGATTACTTTTTACATCAATAGGCCTACATTAGTAGCCTACATTAGCCCACTGGAGTAAATGCATTTCTCAAAGTAACCACTGCGCAGATCCTACAAACCTTTGGTAAATATGGAGACATTATTACCCAACACATTTCTTATAGTTACTTGTTAGTTTCCAAGTTGCCCCGCTTGTGATTGTAACTTATGACCCAGTTCAATAAGTATATAGTTTGCAGGACGCGATGGATGTCTGTCTGCTGGCGGCCAGCAATGGAATAATAACTTTTGAGGTTTAGTTTCGGTTCGAGACACACCCTTGAATGTGTCAGATAATAGGGCTTCTAAAGCTTCTAGCTAAAAACAACACAATACATATCGAGCCTATATTTCTAGTTTAACCTCATCCTATAAGATGTCATAAAAAAGTTTACTTACGGTATAGACAGTAAAAACGACTTCTCCTTTCAAATGAGGAAAACGGAAGAGAAGGTCTCTTCTGCGAACGTTGGGCTTTGAACCGCAGCACAGAGAGGAGTTTTCGGTCCCTCCCCTTTGTGGTAAACCATTTTTTTTCACCTTTATTTAACCAGGTAAGCCAGTTGAGAACAAGTTCTCATTTACAACTGCGACCTGGCCAAGATAAAGCAAAGCAGTGCGATAAAAACAACAACACAGAGTTACATATGGGGTAAAACAAAACATAAAGTCAAAAATACAACAGAAAATATATATACAGTGTGTGCAAATGTAGCAAGTTATGGAGGTAAGGCAATAAATAGGTCATAGTGCAAAATAATTACAATTAGTATTAACACTGGAATGATAGATGTGCAAGAGATGATGTGCAAATAGAGATACTGGGGTGTAAATGAGCAAAATAAATAACAATATGGGGATGAGGTAGTTGGGTGGGCTAATTTCAGATGGGCTGTGTACAGGTGCAGTGATCGGTAAGGTGCTCTGACAACTGATGCTTAAAGTTAGTGAGGGAGATAAGAGTCTCCAGCTTCAGAGATTTTTGCAGTTCGTTCCAGTCATTGGCAGCAGAGAACTGGAAGGAATGGCGGCCAAAGGAGGTGTTGGCTTTGGGGATGACCAGTAAGGTATACCTGCTGGAGCGCATACTATGGGTGGGTGTTGCTATGGTGACCAATGAGCTAAGATAAGGCGGGGATTTGCCTAGCAGTGATTTATAGATGGCCTGGAGCCAGTGGGTTTGGCGACGAATATGTAGTGAGGACCAGCCAACAAGAGCGTACAGGTCACAGTGGTGGATAGTATATGGGGCTTTGGTGACAAAACGGATGGCACTGTGATAGACTATATCCAATTTGCTGAGTGTTGGAGGCTATTTTGTAAATGACATCGCCGAAGTCAAGGATCGGTAGGATAGTCAGTTTTACGAGGGCATGTTTGGCAGCATGAGTGAAGGAGGCTTTGTTGCGAAATAGGAAGCAGATTCTAGATTTAACTTTGGATTGGAGATGCTTAATGTGAGTCTGGAAGGAGAGTTTACAGTCTAACCAGACACCTAGGTATTTGTAGTTGTCCACATACTCTAGGTCAGACCCGTCGAGAGTAGTGATTCTAGTCGGGTGGGCGGGTGCCAGCAGCGTTCGATTGAAGAGCATGCATTTTGACTTGTGTTTAAGAGCAGTTGGAGGCTACAGAAGGAGTGTTGTATGGCATTGAAGCTTGTTTGGAGGTTTGTTAACACAGTGTCCAATGAAGGGCCAGATGTATACAAAATGGTGTCGTCTGCGTAGAGGTGGATCTGAGAATAACCAGCAGCAAGAGCGACATCATTGATATACCCAGAGAAAAGAGTCGGCCCAAGAATTGAACCCTGTGGCACCCCCATAGAGACTGCCATAGGTCCAGACAACAGGCCCTCCAATTTGACACATTGAACTCTATCTGAGAAGTAGTTGGTGAACCAGGCGAGGCAGTCATTTGAGAAACCAAGGCTATTTAGTCTGCCAATAAGAATGCGGTGGTTGACAGAGTCGAAAGACTTGGCCAGGTCGATGAAGACGGCTGCACAGTACTGTCTATTATCGATCGCGGTTATAATATCGTTTAGGACCTTGAGCGTGGCTGAGGTGCACCCATGACCAGCTCGGAAACCGGATTGCATAGCGGAGAAGGTACGGTGTGATTCGAAATGGTCGGTGATCTGTTTGTTAACTTGGCTTTCAAAAACTTTCGAAAGGCAGGGCAGGATGGATATAGGTCTGTAACAGTTTGGATCTAGAGTGTCACCCCCTTTGAAGAGGGGGATGACCGCGGCAGCTTTCCAATCTCTGGGGATCTCAGACGTTACGAAAGAGAGGTTGAACAGGCTAGTAATAGGGGTTGCGACAATTTCAGCGGCTAATTTTAGAAAGAAAGGGTCCAGATTGTCTAGCCCAGATGATTTGTAGGGGTCCAGAGTTTGCAGCTCTTTCAGAACATCAGCTGTCTGAATTTGTGTGAAGGAGAAGCAGGGGGGGGGGGGCATGGGCAAGTTGCAGCGGAGGGTGCAGAGCTGGTGGCCGGGGTAGTGGTAGCCAGGTTATTGTAGATTTATCGGTGGTGATAGTGTTTCCTAGCCTCAGTGCAGTGGGCAGCTGGGAGGAGGTGCTCTTATTCTCCATGGACTTTAGTGTCCCAAAACTTTTTGGAGTTAGTGCTACAGGATGCAAATTTCTGTTTGAAAAAGCTAGCCTTTGCTTTCCTAACTGCTTGTGTATATTGGTTCCTAACTTCCCTGAAAAGTTGCATATCGCGGGGGCTATTCGATGCTAATGCAGTACGCCACAGGATGTTTTTGTGCTGGTCAAGGGCAGTCAAGTCTGAGGAGAACCAGGGGCTATATCTGTTCTTAGTTCTGAATTTTTTGAATGGGGCATGCTTATTTAAGATTGAGAGGAAAGCACTTTTAAAGAACCACCAGGCATCCTCTACTGACCGAATGAGATCGATATCCATCCAGGATACCTGGGCCAGGTCAATTAGGAAGGCCTGCTCGCTAAAGTGTTTTAAGGAGTGTTTGACAGTGATGAGGGGTGGTCGTTTGACCGCTGTCCCGTTACGGACGCAGGCAATAAGGCAGTGATCGCTGAGATCCTGGTTGAAGACAGCGGAGGTGTATTTAGAGGGTAAGTTAGTCAGGATGATATCTATAAGGGTGCCCATGTTTACGGATTTAGGGTTGTACCTGGTAGGTTCCTTGATAATTTGTGTGAGATTGAGGGCATCTAGTTTGGAGTGTAGGATGGCCGGGGTGTTAAGCATATCCCCGTTTAGGTCACTAAGCAGTACGAACTCTGAGGATAGATGGGGGGCAATCAATTCACATATGGTGTCCAGGGCACAGCTGGGGGCTGAGGGGGGTCTGTAGCAAGCGGCAACAGTGAGATACTTATTTCTGGAAAGGTGGATTTTTAGAAGTAGGAGATCAAACTGTTTGGGCACAGACCTGGATAGTATGATAGAGCTCTGCAGGCTATCTCTACAGTAGATTGCAACTCCACCCCCTTTGGCAGTTCTATCTAGATGGAAAATGTTGTAGTTGGGGATGGACATTTCTGAATTTTTGGTGGCCTTCCTAAGCCAGGATTCAGACACTGCTAGATCAGGGTTGGCGGAGTGTGCTAACGCAGTGAATAACTCAAACTTAGGGAGGCGGCTAGGGCAGGCTACATTATATTTTACAGTGAAGAACATACTCACTCACTCTCTCTCGCTCTCTCTCTCTCTATTTAAAAAATATATATATGTTAATTGTGATTGCAGATAAATGTACCTTATTGTTTGTTCTCTCTCTCTGCCACAGACTTCTTGATTTTATTATTATGCTTCCTGAGGAAAATAGCCTGTTATCCCATTCCCATATACTAGTATACTAATGAAAAAGTTCATTAAATGAGTTCATTTTAGAGATGCTCCATAGTGGCTGCTCACCCGCGCCACCAGGCAATGCCACCAGTGTGTGCCCCCCTCACTACAGACCTACAGATCCCATGACTCCACTGCAGTAAAGCTGTAGGCTAAGGGCTGTAACAGGCAGCTACTGATATGTTGTCGTTGTAGCCGAAGCTTATATTAACCTAGCTTGCGTACATCCAACATATACTAACTTACTATCTAGCTGGCTATATGTTATCTATATTTTCTAAGGGAGCTGTCAAACCAAACTGAGATCGAAAGTAGCTACAGTTGGTACAATTTCGGAAATACCATTTCCTGTTACCATTTTGATAGGCATTTCCTGTTGCGAAAGAGCTAGGTAGCGGTTCGTGGCAGCCAGTAAGCTAGCTGACGTTGGCTAATTGGTACCCTAGCTTGCTAGCTAACTTGATGATGAATTGTAGCAGACTTGGAAATAATAATTATTTGCTGAAAGACATTGAATATGGAAGGATCGTGTAACATTGGCACGTTGTACCGGGGATATATTACAACGGACATTATTTTTACAGGATAACCTCAGCTACATGAAATGTCATAACGTTAAGCTAACCGCGGAGATGGAGGGACCTACAACCCCCTGAACAGCTGCACTGATGGAGATATTTCCTCCTCCAAGATGATAGCTAGCAAGTCGAATACTGCACAAGATTTAGCGGAATTATATTAACGTTAAGTCTGCTATCTTGTCTCTATAGTTATCTAGTCTGTCAAGCAAATGGGAGAGTGGTTATTCGGAGTTAGCTCATAATTGACAGCTAACGTTAGCTGCTGGTGAAGAAATCACTGCTGTTTTTGGCATCTTCAAACAACAAGACTGGCTTTGTGAGACAAACCTTAGGCCTTGTCCAGAAAACAAAGTTAATTTGTGAAACTGACATAGCTGGAAACAAGGACATTTGAGCTTTCTGCATCGTCATTTGAGCATTCTGCGTCGTTTTGATTGAAGTGAGGACAATTTTTCCTGATCATCTGACTGATAGTTATCATGAGGAAGTTCTTTGATTCATCTCGTCGGGAGTTGGTCAGTTCAGGACCTGGTTCTGGAGGAGGTAGCAGTGGATCCAGCCATGTAGGTGGCAATTTAATTGGACGTTCATGTACTATTGGGCGACACCAAGTCACTATTGAAGAAACAGTGGCCGAAGGTGAGTGAGATGTAGGAATTGATGCTTGTCTTTTGGAAACAATGTTTTGATGCCCATGCTGACTGAGAACATGTCATGTGACATTTCAGTCAGACAGCAAACTGCAACAATGTTTCAACATTGATCAGTCATTACCAGTCAGGTAGCTGCTACACGAACTGTGGTATGATGACATTCAGTTCTGCTTAAGCCAGAGGCAGCCCAAGGTTTCAGAATGATATGGCTACAGTAGGCTATGTCATTGGCAGAGACATATTGTTGTCAACTTCACACTCAATGCCAAGATGTAATCCTATTCCTGACACTCGTATATCAGACACACCCAGTCCAATGACCATTTCAATGTAGCTGGATAAGCAATTCAAAGGTGCCATGCTGTTTGTAGTTTTCCAGTTTTGATGATCAAGTGTAAGGGCTGTTGCAAGACAGTGATTTATCTGTCACGTGACTGACAGATCTCATTGTTTGAGCAGCAGCTTAATTTGGTAAATCCGTTGGCAGGAAATCCCCTTACATATGAGGTGCTGATTAAATGGGCCCAGGGACAGTCTGTTTTGAGTGTTGTATGATTTATTAAAATGTATGACCATGGACACGAGGAGAGGCTCACTCTAGGAATGCTAGCTCATTTTCAGGTACTGAAGAGCACTGAGAGATGTCTGGGGTGTGGAAGTATCTGTAGGCCTACTCTTAAACTAAAGTCCATTGGGGACATTAAACCTAGTATCTTTGTCATTTTGACAACCCAAGACCATACAGATCAAGTTGCTGATCGTTTGGATATCACTCAGGTACTTGGTAGTGAAGTCCAAAGAATCTGCAGATAATGCCTTGATGTGAGGAAGGGATATAATATTAGGCTAATCCCTGACTCCCTGTGCAAATGGTCAAATCACCTCTCAAAACAGTATATTTTTATCATTAAGCAGCAATCTTGGTTCAAGTTAATGCAAATTCAAACAATTCCTGAAATGAAATAATTCAAGAATAGAAAAATGAAATAGCCTTTAAAAACGCCATGCCTAGCCTAAATAAACACAATGTACATTACAATAAATGGAACATCAAAATTCTCCAATGTATCCCAACCCATGTTACCATACAACCCTACCATTTTGTATCATACACCTGAATGAAAGGTATACACCTTTTTCTTCTCTTAACCTGCTACTCTATATCCCCAGGTGAGTATGTGTGTATGTGGCTATGTGAATGTTAATGTGAGTGTGTTAGAGAGAGATAAGAGTGCTGCATGCTGGGAAATTGCAGTGCCTGCATTATACTGCTCAGTAGAGTCATTTGTGTGGATTGTGTTCACTGGTAGGGTAATGATGTAGCCCTGACATCTTGCAAAAGTAGTTTACTTTGCACAACCTTCTTAAAGACTGCAATTTTGCTCTAACAACCTTGGTTCATCATGACAATAATGGTCCTATCACTTTTTCACATTCAATGCTTTTGTTGATTAGGAAGGCAAATTGCATCATGAATTCTGCCTATTCTGTCCATCCTTTTGAAGCGCTGCTTTGCAGTGTACACGATTCAGGAACTGAGTCTGAGACATGCTGAATAGAGAGATAGTCAGTGTCTTGCATATTGTTGAAGTAGCCTATCCCTGCCCCAATCTTATTTCAGCAACTAGCACTGCAATACTGTAAAGATCTACACAGTGCACTGCAGTTTCAACACACTGAAATGTAACACCAGTATGGTATAACATATAGCCTAGGTAGGTTATCAACATTAGCTACAGACAGCGAATTCCATGCTAAGACAGTTAGGCTAGATAGGCCTACAGTTTCCCTGGGGCAATGCCATCATGGAGGCTTGAGTTGCACTGAAAGTCAGGAATTAAACATGATGCCACAAAGGCAGTTGGCAAAAGATGACTAATGATGCTACACCAGGGTTTCTTTATGTAATTCTATGTGTTACGCACACTACATTAGTGGATGGATGCTGCATTTTACGGAATGGTTAGGCCTATTCGATTTCTTTACTCATATCTTGCCTTGTCTTCTAATCATATTGTTTCGTAGTGGGACGCGAATCACCATTATAAGAGTATTTATTTAATATTTGGTGTGACTTGCTTCAGTAGTCACATTCTCAACCTTTCAATCTTGTATTCTCATTAATTTCAATGGTGGAATACAGGCTTCAACATACTAAACTGAAATCACTGCCACAACTTTCAGAATGTTCAAACTCAAACATTTTGAGAGCTTAAAAACACATTATATGGATTATGATGCTGTAGTACTTAATCTAGTCTACTATGCTAACCCACTATAATAACTCCACACCTACAAACCACCCAAGAATAGGTCACTATAACTAACCCAGAGCCTATGAAAACCCTAGTGCTACCATTACTTCTGCCGTCACTACCACTACTGGGTCGTTGCATTTGATTTCAATCACTTTTTGACCACACCCTTTTGGATTTGAATGACATTTACCATAAATATTGTTCCATGGTAGAAGTGGTCAGAAAGTAAGTTTTTGGACCTGAATGCCAAAACATTCAGGAAAGTTGACCCATTTAGCATACCCCACCATACCATGAGACATGTCTTCATCACTGGAAAATATTAACCATTGAGTTTGATATAATTTAAAAGCTTACAAAAAGGGTAAACTCAAACAATTTAATAATTTCTTGAATAAAATGTATTTTAATAAAGATTATGTAATTCTGTTACCTTTAACGTAAAAAAAAGAAATATTTTCTGCATACTGTAGCTTAAAGGGATACTGCAAGATCAAATCAAATCACATTTTATTTGCCACATGTGCCAAATACAACAGGTGTAGACATTAGTGAAATGCTTACTTACAAGCCCATAACCAACAATGCAGTTTAAGATAAAAAAAAAAAGTGCAAATAGTCTGGGTAGCCATGATTAGCTGTTCAGAAGTCTTATGGCTTGGGGGTAGAAGTTGTTGATCACGTTGAGGGAGAGGTTGTTATCCTGGCACCACACGGCCAGGTCTCTGACCTCCTCCCTATAGGCTGTCTCATCGTTGTCGGTGATCAGGCCTACCACTGTTGTGTCGTCGGCAAACTTAATGATGGTGTTGGAGTCGTGCCTGGCCATGCAGTCATGGGTGAACAGGGAGTACAGGAGGGGACTAAGCACGCACCCCTGAGGGGCCCCCGTGTTGAGGATCAGCATGGTAGATGTTGTTGCCTACCCTTACCACCTGGGGGCGGCCCATCAGGAAGTCCAGGATCCAGTTGCAGAGGGAGGTGTTTAGTTTCTGATATTTTTTTATAACCCAACCCTGATCTGTACTTCTCCACAACTTTGTCCCTGACCTGTTTGGAGAGCTCCTTGGTCTTCATGGTGCCGCTTAGTGGTGTTGCAGACTCTGGGGCCTTTCAGAACAGGTGTGTGTATATACTGAGATCATGTGACAGATCATGTGACACTTAGATTGCACACAGGTGGACTTTAATTAACTAATTATGTGACTTCTGAAGGTAATTGGTTGCACCAGATCTTATTTAGGGGCTTCATAGCAAAGGGGGTGAATACATATGCACGCACCACTTTTCCATTATTTATTTGTAGTATTTTTTGAAACAAGTAATTTTTTTAATTTCACTTCACCAATTTGGACTATTTTGTGGATGTCCATTACATGAAATCCAAATAAAAATCTATTTAAATTACAGGTTGTAATGCAACAAAATAGGAAAAACACCAAGGGGGATGAATACTTTTGCAAGGCACTGTAGAGCCATGTCATCATGGAATGCTCTGCCACCAGAGGTTACTCAAGCAAAAAGCAAGTTTAGTTTTAAAAAACAGTTTTGTATCACAGCGTCTCTCCTCTTTCTAAAGATCTAATTTAACTGTACAGTATATGTGAATATGTGTACGTTTTATGTGAACCCCAGGAAGAGTAGCTGCTGCATGTTCAGTAGCCAATGGGGATCCCACTAAACTAAACTGGTGTGCGTGGCCAAAGAGCTCTATTTTCATGTCATCTGACCATAGCATTGCATGAGCGGGGCGGGGCGGCAGGTAGCTTAGTGGTTAAGAGCGTTGTGCCAGTAACCAAAAGGTCGCTGGTTCTAATCACCGAGCCGACTAGGTGAAAAATCTGTCGATATGCCCTTGAGCAAGGCACTTAACCCTAATTGCTCCTGTAAGTCGCTCTGGATAAGAGCGTCTGCTAAATGACATATTATATGAGCCACGTCAGTTAACATCATTTGAATGAACATTCTACATTACCACAATACCAGGCAGCCATTGTGAGTGTACCAATGAGTTTACCAGTCAAATTGCCAGGGCTAGAGATTCCATGCCTATTCTATTCATTCTATTTGTATGTGTGCTGTTGCTGCAGGGAGGGGGGCATTGCCTAGGCAACCGAAGACGTGTTTGCTACAACATCCTGCTTGTTTCAGGAGCAACAAAGTTTCATCATGTTGTAAAGAGTCCATTTTTGTTATCACACAGACTCAACCGCACAAATGCTCAGCTGTCCTGTCTTCAATCAGCAGTTTTTTTTTTAATGGTTATGACAGTTATTTTATTTTATCTAATTGTGCCAGCCATAGCACAGAGTGGTCTTGCCAACATCCCAACCTTGATACCTAAATACAATAGAAAGTGATATGTTCATGACCTGGAATATCCCTTATATTTAGTTTTCTCTATTACTTCAGACTACCAATGGTTGCTTGCCTCCAAACACTGAACCTTAATTCGGTCTCATTCACTCTCTCTCTTTCTCACAGGTGGGTTTGCCATCGTGTTCCTGGTACGAACCAGCCAGGGACTCCGCTGTGCCCTCAAGAGGATGTATGTCAACAATGAGCACGACCTGCAGGTGTGCAAGCGAGAGATCCAGATCATGGTGAGTAGCTGTGACATTACCCCACACCCACGACATGCTTGGAGGGGAGCTACTCTGTTTAATATTCTCCTCTGCTTACATGAAAACACAGGCAGGCCCATGAACTCTGCATCACCTTATTTATCCATTTCAATTTCCCTCTGGGGACAATAAAGTTTGACCTTGAACTTAAATGGCATGATAATGTTCACTCTGTCTTTTAATGTAATCTGGTTGTGCATGTGCTCTTGCAGAAGGACCTGGTCGGCCATAAGAACATTGTTGGCTATCTGGACTCTAGTATCACCACTTGTGGAGGAGGAGATGTGTGGGAAGTGCTCATCCTCATGGACTACTGTAAAGGTGAGTGCTTACTGAAGGGTCTGTGTTCAATCAAGTGTAGTTGAAAGACAAAAATAAAGCCGGGCGACTGTCACTCCACATGAGGGCGCTCTCTGTCTAACTATTAGTCTAGCTTCCATCTAGGCCAGGGGTGTCAAACTCATTCCATAGAGGACCTAGTGTCTGCAGGTTTTGGGTTTTTCCTTTGAATTAAGACCTAGACAACAAGGTGAGGGTTCTTTACTAATTAGTGACTTTAATTCCTCAATCAAGTACAAGGGAGGAGTGAAAACGTGATCTGGGCCTACCACTGGTGTGGTGACTTTTTTTTTTTTTTATACTTGTCTTTGCATATTTACATTTACATTTTGACTTTTTTTTTTATACTTGTCTTTGCATATTTGCATTTACATTTTAGTCATTTAGCATATAATTTGAGTTCTGTGCTGCACCAGGTTTTATTTCCTTGATGTGAATATATGTTATATGGATAGTACAAAAAAAACTCCCCTCAGGCTGTGAATGTTGCCATTCTTTTGTGAGCTTTATTATCCATTGTGACATTGAGCTTGCTTGCTCTCTTTCACTCCAAGGCTATCTTCACTTATCATGCTAACAGTTAGTCAAGCTAGGGTCCTACATTTCTTTATTTTGTTTGTTCGCAGAATAATTCGCTCTTAATAATGGAGTGATAGAGCATAGTTTTTCCGCTCTATGGGAACACTGTCAGAATGAAGAGGACACTTAAATGTTCATTGAATGACAACATGTCTGACATGATGAAATAGTTGTGAGGTTATGAATTGGTTCTTTAAGTTTTGTGTTTTGATCTCGTTTTTGAGTATTTTCCTCTGTGGCCCAACCTTGAAGACCTTACTGTATAGACAGTTTTACAAATCTATCAACATATTAATAATACAATATTTGTTTTAGGTTCTACTTCTTCCTTTAGTGAGCTGCCTTATCACACTAGCTATACACTGAGTGTACAAAACATTAGGAACACCTGCTCGTTCCATGACACAGACTGACCAGGTGATTCCAGGTGAAAGCTATGATCCCTTATTGATGTCACTTGTTAAATCAACTTCAAATCAGTGTAGATGAAAGGAGACAGGTTAAAGAAGGATTTTTAAACCTTGAGACAATTGAGACATGGATTGTTTATGTGTGCCATTCAGAGGGTGTATGGGCAAGACAACATATTTAAGTGCCTTTGAACGGGGTATGGTAGTAGGTGCCTGGCGCACTGATTTGAGTGTGTCAAGAACTGCAATGTGCTGGATTTTTCACGCTCAACAGTTTCCCGTGTGTATCAAGAAAGGTCCACCACCCAAAGGACATCCACCCAACTTGACACAACTGTGGGAAGCGTTTGAGTCCACATGGGCCAGCATCCCTGTGGAACGCTTTCGACACCTTGTAGAGTCCATGCCCCGTTGAATTGAGGCTGTTCTGAAAGCAAAAGGGGATGCAACTCTCTATTAGGAAGGTGTTCCTAATGTTTTGTACACTCAGTGTACAGTATAACACCATGTGAAACCTCTGAGGAAAGGCCCCTATTGTGAAGTGGTCATTTTAGATCAGTGGTATTCAAAGTCGGGGTCGAGACCCCTAGTGGGGGCAGGGGAACTGCAGTGGGGTCACCCAAAAAAAACATTAAGAGTACATGTTATTTTATAGGACGATACACACAAGTTTGTAGAAAAATAAACATTTGTAGGGGGGGTACTTGAAAATTATTTGTTGATGTAAAAATCTATATTTAACGATTTTTATGGTTGTGTCATTAGATTTGGGTGAGTTGTGGTCACAATTAATTATTGTGAAAAAACAATTGGGTCCCCAGAAATTCTGGTGAAAAAAATGGGGTCCCCGCTGTAAAAGTTTGAATACCACTGTTTTAGATGATCAAGAGACTGAGTGTCTGAGTGCAAGATGGGTGTACTGAGTGAACCTTGCTATCTCCATACCCAGTGTGTGTGTTCAGTAATGAGACTGAGTGATGTATCTCTGCAGGGGGCCAGGTGGTGAACCTGATGAACCAGCGTCTGCAGACAGGCTTCACCGAGGCAGAGGTGCTGCAGATCTTCTGTGACACATGTGACGCCGTGTCTCGACTGCACCAGGGCAAGACACCCATCATACACAGGGACCTCAAGGTGCAGAGGAGTAGGACCCTTCTCCTGTGTTTTCTCCCACCTCCTTTCTCTGCTCCCACTCCCGCTCTCTCATCTCATTCTTGGCTTAGTCTTCCAGTCATATAAATAATATATATGTATATCTCAGTTAAAGCTGCTGAGGGGAGAACGGCACATAATAATGTCTGGAACGGAGCGAATGGAATGGCATCAAACGCATAGAAACCATGTGTTTGATACCATTCCACTCATACCGCTCCAGCCATTACCACGAGCCTGTCCTCCCCAATTAAGGTGCCACCAACCTCCAGTGAGATATATATATATATATATATATATATATATACACACACACAGTGCATTCGGAAAGTACTCAGACCTCTTCCCTTTTTCCACATTTTATTACGTTACAGCCTTATTCTAAAATTATTCAAAAAACTATTCCTCAATCTATAAACAAAACCCCATAATGACAAAGCGAAAAACAGGTTTTTAGATTTTTTTGCAAATGTATTAAAAATAAAAATCAGAAATACCTTATTTACATAAGTTTTCAGACCCTTTGCTATGAGACTCGAAATTGAGCTCATGTGCATCCTGTTTCCATTGATCATCCTTGAGATGTTTCTACAACTTGATTGGAGTCCACCTGTGGCAAATTCAATTGATTGGCCATGATTTGGAAAGGCACAGACCTGTCTATATTAGGTCCCACAGTTGACAGTGCATGTCAGAGAAAAAAACCAAGCCATGAGGTCGAATGAATTGTCCGTATAGCTCAGAGACAGGATTGTGTCGAGGCACAGATCTGGGGAAGGGTGCCAAAACATTTCTGCAGCATTGAAGGTCCCCAAGAACACAGTGGCCTCCATCATTCTTAAATGGAAGAAGTTTGGAACAACCAAGACTCTTCCTAGAGCTGGCCGTCCGGCCAAACTGAGCAATCGGGGGAGAAGGGCCTTAGTCAGGGAAATTACCAAGAACCCTATGGTCACTCTGACAGAGCTCCAGAGTTCCTCTGTGGAGATGGGAGGACAACCATCTCTGCAGCACTCCACCAATCAGGCCTTTATGGTAGAATGGCCAGACGGAAGCCACTCCTCAGTAAAAGGCACATAACAGCCCGCTTGGAGTTTGCCAAAAGGCACCTAAAGGACTCTCAGATCATGAGAAACAAGATTCTCTGGTCTTATGAAACCAAGATTGAACTCTTTGGCCTGAATGCCAAGCGTCACATATGGAGGAAACCTGGCACCATCCCTACGGTGAAGCATGGTGGTGGCAACATCATTCTGTGGGGATGTTTTGAAGGTGCAGGGACTGGGAGACTAGTCAGGATCGAGGGAAAGATGAACAGAGCAAAGTACAGTCGTGGTCAAAAGTTTTGAGAATGACACAGGTATTGGTCTTCACAAAGTTCGCTGCTTCAGTGTTATGATATATTTTTGTCAGATGTTAATATGGTATACTGAAGTATAATTACAAGCATTCCATAAGTGTCAAAGGCTTTTATTGACAAGTACATTAAGTTTATGCAAAGAGTCAATATTTGCAGTGTTGACCCTTCTTTTTCAAGACCTCTGCAATCCGCCCTGGCATGCTGTCAATTAACTTCTGGGCCACATCCTGACTGATGGCAGCCCATTCTTGCTTAATCAATGCTTGGAGTTTGTCAGAATTTGTGGGTTTTTGTTTGTCCACCGCCTCTTGAGGATCATCCACAAGTTCTCAATGGGATTAAGGTCTGGGGAGTTTCCTGGCCTTGGACCCAAAATGTCGATGTTTTGTTCCCCGAGCCACTTAGTTATCACTTTTACCTTATGGCAAGGGGCTCCATCATGCTGGAAAAGGCATTGGTCGTCACCAAACTGTTCTTGGATGGTTGGGAGAAGTTTGTCTTGGAGGATGTGTTGGTACCATTCTTTATTCATGGCTGTGTTCTTAGGCAAAAATGTGAGTGAGCCCACTCCCTTGGCTGAGAAGCAACCCCACACATGAATGGTCTCAGGATGCTTTACTGTTGGCATGACACAGGACTGATGGTAGTGCTCACCTTGTCTTCTCCGGACAAGCTTTTTTCCGGATGCCCCAAACAATCGGAAAGGGGATTCATCAGAGAAAATGACTTTACCCCAGTCCTCAGCAGTCCAATCCCTGTACCTTTTGCAGAATATCAGTCTGTCCCTGATGTTTTTCCTGGAGAGAAGTGGCTTCTTTGCTGCCCTTCTTGACAGCAGGCCATCCTCCAAAGTCTTCACCTCACTGTGCGTGCAGATGCACTCACACCTGCCTGCTGCCATTCCTGAGCAAGCTCTGCACTGGTGGTGCCCCGATCCCGCAGCTGAATCAACTTTAGGAGACGGTCCTGGCGCTTGCTGGACTTTCTTGGGTGCCCTGACACCTTCTTCACAACAATTGAACCTCTCTCCTTGAAGTTCTTGATGATCCGATAAATGGTTGATTTAGGTGCAATCTTACTAGCAGCAATATCCTTGCCTGTGAAGCCCTTTTTGTGCAAAGCAATGATGACGGCACATGTTTCCTTGCAGGTAACCATGGTTAACAGAGGAAGAACAATGATTTCAAGCACCACCCTCCTTTTAAAGCTTCCAGTCTGTTTTTCTAACTCAATCAGCATGACAGAGTGATCTCCAGCCTTGTCCTCGTCAACACTCTCACCTGTGTTAACGAGAGAATCACTGACATGATGGCAGCTGGTCCTTTTGTGGCAGGGCTGAAATGCAGTGGAAATGTTTTTTGGCATTAAGTTCATTTTCATGTCAAAGAGGGACTTTGCAATTAATTTGATCACTCTTCATGACATTCTGGAGTATATGCAAATTGCCATCATCAAAACTGAGGCAGCAGACTTTGTGAAAATTAGTATTTGTGTACTTCTCAAAACTTTTGACCACGACTGTACAGAGAGATCCTTGATGAAAACCTGCTCCAGAGCGCTCAGGACCTCAGACCAGGGCGAATGTTCACCTTCCAACAGGACAACGACCCTAAGCACACAGCCAAGACAATGCAGGAGTGGCTTTGGGACAAGTCTCTGAATGTCCTTGAGTGGCCCTGCCAGAGCCCAGATTTGAACACGATCGAACATCCCTGGAAAGACCTGAAAATAGCTGTACAGTGACGCTCCCCATCCAACCTGACAGAGCATGAGAGGATCTGCAGAGAAGGATGGGAGAAACTCCTCAAATAGAGGTGTGCCAAGCTTGTAGCATCATACCCACGAAGACTTGAGACTGTAATTTCTGCCAAAGGTGCTTCAACAAAGTGCTGAGTGAAAGGTCTGAATACTTATGTAAATGTGTTATTTCCGTTTTTTATTTTTTATAAATTTGCAAAAATGTCTAAAAAACAGTTTTGCTTTGTCATTATGGGGTATTGTGTATGGATTGATGAGGGGAAAAAACTATTTAATCCATTTTAGAGTAAGGCTGTAACAAAATTTGGAAAAAGTCAAGGGGTCTGAATACTTTCCGAATGCGCTGTGCCATTCAGCAGACACTTTCATCCAATTCACATGATCAAAAACTGAAAAGAGCAGCCGTTACGTGACTCATATTTTATCCTTCTCTGGCTTTGTTTGAATCTTCTTCTCTTTTATATCGCTGCAGGTGGAGAACATCCTGTTACATGATAAGGGACACTATGTGCTGTGTGACTTCGGCAGTGCTACCAATAAGTTCCAGAACCCACAGATTGAAGGAGTGCCAATAGTCGATGATGAAATAAAAAAGTTTGTGAACTTACATAGCTTAATACATGCCATTTCCTGCCATTTTATTTCCTTTGAATTGAGCATTTTTACAGCCATAGAATAATACAGTTCAGAAGAATACAGGCCTTTTCAGCTGTGCCTAGTCAGAGTTAGCCTTGTGTTAGTTCAATAAGGATCATGATATTCTTCATCCTCGTCTTTGTGAGCTTGTCCTATTCTCTCTCAGGTACACCACTCTGTCATATCGTGCCCCTGAGATGGTAAACCTCTACAATAGCAAGATTATCACTACTAAAGCTGACATATGGGTGAGTGGACCTTGTATGTTAGATGTAGGCTTTAGTCATGGTATCAGTGCCAGCTTCTGATTTGTATGGGGCTTTTTTACAATACACTTTGCAGCAATTTGTCACAGAATGCTCATGAAAATTGTGTAAAATATATATTAGCTAAATGAAAACTTCAAACTAATCTTTGGTTTAGTTAGTACAGTAAGAAGTTAGAAGAGCCATATTTGTGTGGAGAAGCCTTTTCCCATCAGGTTTCTCGAGGCATTTGGATGTTGGCTCTAAAAGGTATGTAACTTTATTATTGTGTGTGTTCTCCAGGCGATGGGCTGTTTGCTGTATAAGCTGTGCTACTTCACTCTACCCTTCGGGGAGAGTCAGGTGGCCATCTGTGATGGCAGCTTCACCATTCCTGACAATTCCCGCTACTCCTACGACCTGCACTGCCTCATCCGTCAGTATTCCACCACTCACTGTATCTGCTATGGAAATTAGTGTCGATTTTACAACGCCATTACATATTTTCTAAGTATATTTTGTAAGTCCTGTACTACATGTTGCCTCCTTATCTAACAATGCTTAATCTATAGTTTGTGGGTTAGTCAGTGTGTTGCTTTTCTCTCTTCTGGTGTGGTTCAATTGGTCTCACTTTTTCTCTCACATTTCCTCCTCCTCCACCTCTCCTTCTCACTCTGTTGGTGTTTGTCAGGGTACATGCTGGAGCCCGACCCTGACAAAAGGCCTGACATCTACCAGGTGTCCTACTTTGCTTTTAAACTGGCTCGTCGGGACTGCCCTGTTCAGAATGTGAAGGTCAGTCTCTCTCTGCTCTGTGGTCAGTCTGTGTGGGTCAGTCTCTGTAGTGGGGTGACCTTTTCTAGTCTGTATGTCTCAGTCTCTCTCTGCTCTGGGAACAGCTGTGGATTGGTCCTCTAACAGGCTCTGAGCCAGACCTACCAATGTTCTATTCAGTCCATGCCCTGAAGCTACTGAATGTGCTTCCCAAATATACATTTACAATACTTTTGTCTCTAATCTACCCCCATATAGAACTCTCAAATTCCTGCTCAACTCCCTGAGCCAATCAAAGCCAGCGAGGCAGCTGCAGCGAAGAAGAGCCAGAGCCAGACCCAGAGTAAGGCCAGGTAAGTCTGTGTGCTGGTGTTTGTCATACAGGGGGGCTGCCTGAGTAATCTTCTGGTTGTTGTTGTTATACACACCAGTATTGCAGCTAGGATCCTTATTTTTTGTCAGTTGTGTGTTCTCTGTTCTGTTTTGACATCATTCATAAGGTAATTTCGTACCATTGACAAGTTGATCACCAACTCTCACCTTTGACCCCCAGGTTGACAGACCCCGTCCCCACCACTGAGACCTCCATCACACCCCGGCAGAGGCCCAAAGCTGGCCATGCCCAGCCCAGCGCTGGCATCCTTCCCATCCAACCGGCTGCCCTCACCCCTCGCAAACGGGCCAACCTCCCTGCCCTTCCTCTAGGTATGTACCCACCCTCACTCGGCCACTCTGCCGTTGTACTGCAATTAGGCTAACATTGGTTTTATTTGGAGGCATGTTAGCTACTCAGTAGATACACAGAAGCGACTGAGGTAGATTCTCTACCCCGCGCCGGAACTTACTTACTAATAATTTGTAGAGTGCAAAATGACCGCAAGAAGCCCAAACAGATATAATATTTGACTAAAACATAATAATTTAAAACCTTGCTTACATTTGCATACGATCACGTGTATCTCTATTTATTTGACATTTTGCAGGATGAAATCTCTTTAGATGCACCAAAATAAAATAAAAAATAAATAAAAACAATACTCAGTAACAAGAATAATATGGCAGCTACTGTGTAATAATAATAATAATAAAATAAAACGTACATAAACAGCATAAAAAAGTTATACAACTACTAGGCCTACAACTAATAAAAACGACAAAACTACTTATACAACTATGTACCTATAATACAGTGTTTTAATGCATACATATTTATAAATATCTTCACATGTTGATGTTTCTATTAGTAAAAAAACACTATTATGCGTGGGAACAGATTTCCAAAATTAAAATCACTTGGAGCTGATTTCCTGGTGTTTTTACACTTATGTCCAACAATGAAAATCCCCGCCCCCTTTTTGTTTTTGCTCAGAAAACTTGGGGGGCCACATAAAAATGCCAGTTGGGGAGCCCTGCTCTGCCGTAATGGCAGTAGCTAAGTTGGACAAAATAGAAGTAAATGAAGATGTACGACATTGGGTACTAGCCATGATAAATACATGTCTGTGTAAGTGGGCATTTCCCTGAGGATCTAGCTAGCTCACATAGAGTTGAACCAGCACTGACCTGGAACAGTTGTTTTTTTCCCCCGTAGTTTCAGTAAATCAAATAAATGTCTGTTAAGGCTCCACCTGCTCAGAACATTCTGCCAAATTTGGTTGAATTATTTCTCAAATTAGATCCAAGTTATATTTAGTAAAAAATTATAAGGCTCTCGTTAGAAACCAATGGAGTGAACACTTGGCTGGTCTGCTTAGTCTGTCTCTCAACATTCTCATCTAATGAGGTCTAGCCAGAGAGTTGTCGTGCTCTGACGATTTTTCCCACCTCTAACCAGACTGACTGCTCTAGACACCACTTTGCTCTGTTTTTGTGCTGCTTTTCCTCCAGTGATAGACAGGACACAGGAGAGTTGTGTACTTGTGTTTGCATTTTGATGGGGAATTACCTTGTTACTCAATTATTTAACCAAGCAGAGCCAAGCCACTGTCACTGCTTGTGACACCTGCCATGTCTAATTATGTTACTGTATTTCTCAACAGGGAGTTAATGCAGTTAACAAACAAAACACTTAGCAGCCAATTCATTTCCGTATCTATTAGACCACATTACCATGGCAGCAGCATTACGCAGATGGGCCTTAGGCTAAACTAATACCCTATAAATCCTATAGGACATGAACTGTCATTGTTCCGTTTTACCAATTACACTTCTTCTCAATGACGATTCTTCCATGAACCTTACGGTTTGCAGAAAGCGTATATGGCAGCCAAAAAGATGGTTGCATTACGTTGGCAAGAGCCTCACTCTCTGCTATGGCATCAATGGGGGTGCTTTAGAAATTGCTAACATGGAACTTTCTGTGTCCCGTATGCATGGTGCTAAAGAGACAAATGTTGAGCTGTGGACTACTGTTATTGAAAAAATAAGAGAACTGCCATAATATCTTCAGTAAACAGGGTCCTGTGGGGGGGGTGGGTGTTTAGTGTTTTCTCTTTTGTCCTAACTGTTGTGTCTTGTCTGTGTACCATAAATGAATTTTTTAAAATACATTTTATAAAAATAAAATTGTTTGTTTAATGCCAGGGATGATGTGCTAGATATTTCTGTCCTTTAACGTAATGTGTGACGACAACATTTTATGTATGTATGTTGCATTAAATATATTTTCATCGTTTCAAGACTTGTATAGTAACCAGATTCTGTACTCCTTGCAGGAGTGAACTTAAACCTTGCCCAGCAAGCGGCAGCCCTCCAATCACAGAAGGCACAGACCACAGCTCCGCCTCAGCCAGTGACCGGCCAATCACAGAACCCTCCTAGTCAGGCCACACTTCAGCTGGGTGGAAAGCCCCAAGCTGGTGCTCAGCAGAAGCAGGTAAACTCAGGCAGCCACCCAAGCCCACAGCCATACCACCCTGCATCCCACTGCTGGCTTGTCTCTGAAGCTAGCAGGGTTGGTGTCTGGTCAATCCCACCCTTAGCGGCGTTGGCAGAAAGCGGATGTTGACTGTTTTCAGGGATACAGCGTCTCACAATAGGAGTGCTGATCTAGGATCAGGTCCCCCCCTGTCCATGACGTAATCTTATTAATTGTTATCTTAAATCAGCACTCCTACTCTGAGAAGCGACCACAGATATTGTTGGAAGATTTCTAATTTGCATGATTCACCCTCTACATTGTGATAGTTGTAAGCTTTCTGGCACAAAATTAACTGCCATCAGCAGGTGGGTGCTTACACGTTGGTGGTGGATGACGTAAGTTTCCCCCATAGTGCTCTGAGGATCTGGAAGTTTTTAATGAATCTAATCAATTACAGTACAAAACCCTGCGTTTTTTACACACTTAAATGGGTTAATATAATTGGAGAAAAAAAACGTTTCTAAAGAAAATGTTCCTCTTTACACTAAGGGATCTGGAAAAATGCATTTCAAAGAAATGTAGATTTTGGGGGGGGATTTTGTTGCTTAGTGAATAATATACACTTATACCAGCTGTAAAATACCATCTGTAAGACGAGTTGCTGCTCAGGGTTGGGTTATTGTTCAATGGCCCCTTGTATAGACTGTGTAATGGAACAAGCTTAGATAAGGAGATAAGTAAAGTGCAGGAAACTCTTGACCAAACAGAGAAGAAGCGAGCATTAGGGAGGAAAATGGATGAAAGACGTTGCCACACAATTGCACCCCATTACATTTTCATGAGATTACAGTTTTTACAGTCTGCTCTCTTATTATAACAAAAACACAAGCAATGGAGTAATGGGTCCTTAGATTTTAGGTAGGGAAGGTAGTTTTCCGGTATTATATGTATCATTCTGAACCCACAATAACAGCCACATGCATTCTTAGTGGCACTCTGTGTTTAAAGCAGCTTTGTCTTCGTTGTCATGGTTTGTTGACGCTGTGTGCTGTCGTCCGTCTTTGTGTGGTAGCCAGGGCAGCTGCAGCAGCAGCCAATCGCGGCAGCAGTCACCGCAGCAGGGGGAGGAGTGCAGGCCAAGACAGAGGGCCTGAGCGCCCCACAACAGGCCGTGCCTCCCGCGCTGGCCAGTCCCACCCCTCAGCAGGCCCCGTCCAGCCCAGCCCCACCTAAAGCCCCAGCACGTCGTAAGCAGGCCAGCCAGAGCCAGGCCCAGCAGCAGCCAACCGCTCAGCCCACTCCAGCCCAACCTCCGGCTGCACAGCAGCATACAGCTCAGCAGCAACCAGTTCCTCTACAACCAGTTGCCCAGCAACCAGTGGCCCAGCCAGAAGCAGCCCAGCAGCCACCTGTCCAGATCCAGTCCATCCCTGCTAAAACCAGTCAGAACACAGCTGAGACCGAGACGGTAACATACCTGCAGCCTGCAACGAGTCTGCTCCCTGAGCTGTCAGACACTCTCAAAGCCTGCTTGAAAGTAACATCAGGCCATCCATTGTTCCACCCAGCCATCCATCGTCATGGCAATGCCATCAGCCTTCATCGTTTTGCTGTCTTTTCGGTTTTGTTTGTTTGAGTGTTGTTCTCGCAGTACCTTAAAAACGAAATCCATTGTGAACGTTTGAATTATCCTCATTTCGGTGTGATAGACTTTTTTTCCCCCCTTTGTCTGTCCATTTTTCACTTTAATTGTAATTGTTTGACTTTGTTTGCCTCATTTTCTTTTGTGTTGTATGTATTTGGCATTGACAGTTATTCATTAGTGTGTGTTATTGGGTTTAGTTCTTTAAAATTAGTTTCCTTTTCTTCCCCCTATTTGTATTGTTTATATGATATTTTTATTTCTTCCTCTCTCTCTCCGTCCCTCCAGACTTCTCTTCCTGCTCTGTCCAAGACTCCGCCCCACTCTCCAAAGGCTGCAGAGCGCACCCCGAGTGACTTTACCCAGAATGCAGTCGGTGGGCTACCTGGAAGTGACTCCATCCAGCCACTGCAAGAGGCCACAGCAGAGGATGGCTTCAACCAGTTAATGTAAGATATGCGGCAACGACATCATCCCCTGAAATATCAGCCTTAATTAAATATATTTAGTTTTTAATGTGTAACAACAAGTTGACCTGTTCCGGCCTTTGTGTGTTTTTCCAGATCTGTTGGTACAATTCCACCCAATTCTACCCAGTCTCTTCAGCAGAGTGTGTGTGAACCAGCCCAGGATGGCAACTTTGCTGCCTTTGCCCCTTCCCCTGCCTCTGCCCCTGGCCCTGCCATCGGCTCCCCCAGTCAGCCCGCCTGGAACCCTTTTGGTGATGATGCCTTCTCCAATCTCAGTGTGGAGCATCTGATTAACAAAGACTTGGTTGACATACAGGCTGATGGTAAGGCTATGTGCGCACGCGTGTGTGTGTGCGGAATTATGTGTTCATAAAAGAGATAGGAGCTAAAAGTACATTCTTATACCTCATTTCTAATATATCCTCTGGTGTAATAGTATTTCCAACCAGATAAAGCTGCATTATAAGTTACTTTGTCTTTTTCTCTATGAGATGTGTCTGAAGAGGTGGAGACGGCCCCCACAGAGGACCTGATACCTGGCCTCCTGGAGGTATCCTCCCCTGGGGAAACAGCCCCCCAACCTGCTGGTGAGACCCTTCTTATCTCCATCACTCATATCTCCCTACTGTATATCTCTCAGATATTCCCATAGCTCCTTTGTTCTTCCTATAGCAATCACATCCTCCATCCTCCATTACCAACAGCTACAGTGACATACCCATAGAAATCCTATAATACACTGTTCTATGTCATTCTATGGACATAAGGGAAGGGAACTCTGCTGCTACCCAACTCTCCAAACAAGGTGCATGAAATGAGGAGAAAACTGAAGTGAAGAGAAGTTGATAAATGTGCTTCTATATTCCTGCTGAGTGAATGGTCCTCTCTGTGACCTCATCAGTGGCCATCTGAACGCTAAGCTCAGCAGAAATGTATATCTGAAAGCTTTCATTAACTCTGTATGCTCAAATCCCTAGCTAGCCATTTAATGGGATGTCTTCATTGAATAACTTACCAAGAAAACACTGTCTCTTTGCCTTGCACTATCCATGCTCAATCATCTCTACTTGTAATTAGACGGAGATGGACATTGCGTGCTTTTTGTATCTATGCAGTGTTCATTAGTGTCTGTGTTGTCTTTCCCTGCTCCCCGCCTCGCTACTTACTGTACCAGTAGAGCAATCTGAAGACATCCTTGGCCTGGATACAGGAGAGTCTTTGTTGACTGTTCTGGTCCCTTTCAGCATCCTAGAACTCTCAGACACTCCAGGTAAGGATGTGTCCATTTATATGTGTAAAAGCACACTCCAAATCACTTATACCCACATACCAACAGTTTTTTATTTATTTAACCTTTATTTAACTAGGCAAGTCAGTTAAGAACACATTCTTATTTACAATGACGGCCTACAATGACGGCCTCATTAACATGACTTACTGAGATGCTGGCGATCTATTGTCTAAGACCAGAATTAGGGTGCGTTCGTAAATTCACTCTGGCAATCTACTTCAAGTTCAGAGCTCTCTGGTTTGAGAGTGCCAGAGCACAGAATAATTAATGAATTTACAGTTGTTAGGACAGGTGCCAGTAAACATTGACTAAAAACAGAATTAAAATTGTTGCCAGTAACACAGTTACAATGAATAACCCTCTTAATAACACGAAAACAGTCTAACCAGTTCTGCTATGGCGAGTAAAATGGTCAGAGTGATCTCTCTCTCATTTGTGTCTAAAAGTAGCTAGCAAACTAGCCAATGTTCGCTTTGTTAGCTTCGGTGCTTGACTGCTGTTGTGAGGTCAGAATGCTCGGATCAACCCTACTCCTCGGCCAGAGTCCATTGTGCGCTCTGAATGCTTCGAGAGCAAAACACTCTGAATTTACGAACGGACAATTTGACAGCGCTCTGAATAAAAAATGGCCCAGAGCGCCCTCTGACACTCCACAGTTAATTTACGAACACACCCTTGGTATCCACACACAATTAGTGTTCCTTAGTGGTCATTGCAACCTGTTCCACTTGGCGGTTATCAAAAACCTTTCAAATCCTAATATTTTCTTGATTCAGCCTAAAATGCAGACCAAAATAATGCAGCACTTCAAATTGTAACGTGGCATTTTGCTCTAAGGAAGTCAAAGTACTGCTAGTCACGTTGCTAGCAATGATGTACAGTGCTCTCTCTCCCCAGTTAAAGGGGCTAGAGTGGACTTGTTTTCTGTACCTTGATCCCTGACAGTCCACTGGCTCAACTGTAAGTACATAGTGGAGAGGCAGGAGGAGAGCAGGTGTGGGTTGTGTTTTGAGATAACCTGGTGTGCAGAGTGATCTTTAGGTGTAACCCCAGCTAGTTGACGTAGCTACTAGCTAGCGCTCTCTGTGTGACTGTTTTATTCATCTGGTGTGAAAGTAACATTTAGGGTTTTGTGGCTGTGTGAACAAACATCTCAATGTAGGAAAAGTATTCATTGTTCTGCTTTGGGAGTACTAATTCTAAATGCATGTTAACTGGCCTGTTGGAATGTGGTGGAAAGAAAGAGTAAGCTTATAAAAACTTTTCTTCAAAGTGAGCGGTTCCTCAGCAAACAGTTTCTTTGCTCTTCTGTAGGGTGAGATTCTTTCCTCTATTTAGCTATGTTCTAATGTCTGTCTCCAGCTTTTTTGTCCTAATATGTCATTCTGTTATCATCTTTGTCTTATCCGTCTGTAATCAATTAATCTATCCCCAACTTATATTTTCCATTTTCTCATTCCCTTCATCTCTTTTTTGTTTAAGCCACTGGTATGTAAAAAAAACAAAAAACATTTTCTACTATTTTTGTTGCATTTATTTATCAACATACATAATGTTGATAATGTACAATAAATACCATGGCAGACAGTCTCCATGTGGGCTCTCAATCACCACTGCCTTCAATAAATCGTCACATCATTACATCTCAGCCATATCTGGCTATTTGGAGCTAGGAAACACTAGTGGCCACCCATGTGGCTCAGTTGGTGGAGCATGGCGCATGCAACGCCAGTTGGAGGTTTGATTCCCACGGGTGACCAGTACGAAAAAGTAAAAACATTTATGCCCTCACTACTGTAAATCGCTCTGGATTAGAGCGTCTCCTAAATGACTCAAATGTAAATATTAATTAATCAGCAATGTTCCTTCGTTGGCTCCCCATGAACTGCAGTGCTACCATTTACACTATACCAGGAAATGTCCCTTAACGATATGCGTGGGTTGAGTGTGGTCATAGTTGTAGTAGTTGTATAGGCCTATATGTAAGCAATTTTTATGTTGCTCTGTACATTCTCTGAAAATAGTGGGTGACGCAGGCTTGGAGGACGTGCAGCCGAGTCCATCCACGGACTGCATCTTTGGAGTAGATTAGTTCCAGAAAATGTACATGAGCATATCTACATAGGCCTATATTTCTGAAAATATACTTCCATCACATTATGTGCTGGAGCTGTACCATAATTTGCCCTCATTGAACACCCATCCTCTCACTTTCCCTATAGCCTAGCCTCATTGAACACCCATCCTCTCACATCCCCTATAGCCTAGCCTCATTGAACACCCATCCTCTCACATTCCCTATAGCCTAGCCTCATTGAACACCCATCCTCTCACATTCCCTATAGCCTAGCCTCATTGAACACCCATCCTGTCACATTCCCTATAGCCTCATTGAACACCCATCCTCTCACATCCCCTATAGCCTCGCCTCATTGAACACCCATCCTCTCACATTCCCTGTAGCCTCATTTAACACCCATCCTCTCACATTCCCTATAGCCTCATTGAACACCCATCCTCTCACATCCCCTATAGCCTAGCCTCATTGAACACCCATCCTCTCACATTCCCTATAGCCTCATTGAACACCCATCCTCTCACATTCCCTATAGCCTCATTGAACACCCATCCTCTCACATCCCTATAGCCTAGCCTCATTGAACACCCATCCTCTCACATTCCCTATAGCCTAGCCTCATTGAACACCCATCCTCTCACATTCCCTATAGCCTCATTGAACACCAATCCTCTCACATTCCCTATAGCCTAGCCTCATTGAACACCCATCCTTTCACATTCCCTATAGCCTAGCCTCATTGAACACCCATCCTCTCACATTCCCTATAGCCTAGCCTCATTGAACACCCATCCTCTCCATTCCCTAAGCCTCATTGAACACCCATCATCACTTCCCTAAGCCTCATTGAACACCCATCCTCTCACATTCCCTATAGCCTAGCCTCATTGAACACCCGTCCTCTCACATCCCCTATAGCCTCATTGAACTCCCATCCTCTCACATTCCCTATATTCTCATTGAACACCCATCCTCTCACATTCCCTATAGCCTAGCCTCATTGAACACCCATCCTCTCACATTCCCTATAGCCTATCCTCATTGAACACCCGTCCTCTCACATTCCCTATAGCCTAGCCTCATTGAACACCCATCCTCTCACATTCCCTATAGCCTAGCCTCATTGAACACCCATCCTATCATATTCCCTATAGCCTCATTGAACATCCATCCTCTCACATTCCCTATAGCCTCATTGAACACCCGTCCTCTCACATTCCCCATAGCCTCATTGAACACCCATCCTCTCACATCCCCTATAGCCTAGATCATTGAACACCCATCCTCTCACATCCCCTATAACCTATATCATTGAACACCCATTCTCTCACATTCCCTATAGCCTAGCTTCATTGAACACCCATCCTCTCACATCCCCTATAACCTAGATCATTGATCACCCATCCTCTCACATTCCCTATAGCCTAGATCATTGAACACCCATCCTCTCACATTCCCTATAGCCTAGCCTCATTGAAAACCCATCCTCTCACATCCCCTATAGCCTAGCCTCATTGAACACCCATCCTCTCACATCCCCTATAGCCTAGCCTCATTGAACACCCATCCTCTCACATCCCCTATAGCCTAGCGTCATTGAACACCCATCCTATCATATTCCCTATAGCCTCATTGAACATCCATCCTCTCACATTCCCTATAGCCCCATTGACCACCCATCCTCTCACATTCCCTATAGCCTCATTGAACACCCATCCTCTCACATTCCCTATAGCCTAGCTTCATTGAACACCCATCCTCTCACATCCCCTATAGCCTAGCTTCATTGAACACCCATCCTCTCACATCACCTATAGCCTAGATCATTGACCACCCATCCTCTCACATTCCCTATAGCCTAGCCTCATTGACCACCCATCCTCTCACATTCCCTATAGCCTCATTGAACACCCATCCTCTCACATTCCCTATAGCCTAGCTTCATTGAACACCCATCCTCTCACATTCCCTATAGCCTAGCATCATTGAACATCCATCCTTTCACATTCCCTATAGCCTAGCCTCATTGAACACCCATCATCTCACATCCCCTATAGCCTCATTGAACACCCATCCTCTCACATCCCCTATAGCCTAGCCTCATTGAACACCCATCCTCTCACATCCCCTATAGCCTCATTGAACACCCCTCTCACATCCCCTATAGCCTCATTGAACACCCATCCTCTCACATCCCCTATAGCCTAGCCTCATTGAACACCCATCATCTCACATCCCCTATAGCCTCATTGAACACCCATCCTCTCACATCCCCTATAGCCTAGCCTCATTGAACACCCATCCTCTCACATCCCCTGTAGCCTCATTGAACACCCATCCTCTCACATCCCCTATAGCCTCATTGAACACCCATCCTCTCACATCCCCTATAGCCTCATTGAACACCCATCCTCTCACATCCCCTATAGCCTAGCTCCCTTTGCCTTTCTTCCTTCCTTTTACGTTACTTGTCCTTCACCCTCTCCTCATCTCTTTTTCTTTCTTCACCCCTTTTCTCCATCCTCACTTGCACTGCTCAATTCAATGGTGTTTGCTGTTCTGGCCATGACCATGTGAAATGCAGTACTCGCTAGGTAGAGTATTGCTGCTGCTCACATTTTCTTACTGTTCTCTCTCGTTCCATCTTTCCTTGCTCATCTTTTCTCTCTGGCCTGTAGAGAAGCTTATTGAGGGACTGAAGTCCCCAGATACACACCTCCTGCTCCCTGACCTCCTGTCCATGGCTGATCCCTTTGGTGGAACTATGGAGGAGGCTGTCAATGGTAAAAGTATTTTCGGTCTTTCAGCCACTCCTGGATATTTCACAATTGTACACACTTTTACATTGCTCTCCAAATGTCAAGGTTTTCCATGGAATGCTCCATGGCAATGTCCTCTATCTGCCCTCTGTTTACTCTAGCTTCTTTTGTTCTCTTGTGGGTGTCCTCTTACTCGCTCCCTTTCTCTGCTTCCCTCTCGCCTTCTCTTCTTCTATGCCTCCCTCTCTCTCTACGTGTACAGTAGTGGGTCCAGCAGAGGAGTCTCTGGTGAGTCTGGACTTTCTGATCCCTGGTCTGGAAGCTCCTGTGTCCCAGTCTGAGACAGACTCTGCACTGCTTCCTGGTTAGTTTCTGTCTCACAGGCAAGACGACACACAATCTAGATGTTCCCAGAATACAATGCAACAGTGGAATAAGATTATTTAGATCTGTGGAAACAAAAAGGTTTAGGTTGATGTTTTTACTGATAATACCACCTCCACACTGGTCTTGGGTCATTGTGTAAGGTTTATCGAGGACGGAATGAAGCCCATTGAGTACAATGACCACAGCTGATTGATATTTGGAGTGTTTGTCTATTAGTAGCCTGGTTAGTCCAGTTACAAATGTGTCATTCATATCCAATGTTCTGATTTAAAAACTGACATGAAATGAAATTGCAAATTGAAATGGAGAAATGAAAAAGCAGAGGCCCACAAACTCTGAGAAAAACAGATGACAGTGTCCTTGTACAACTAGTATTCACAGGATGAGGCAGTTTTTTGAGAATTGTGATGTTTATTATGCTGTGTGTTTCATGCAGGGCTCTGTAATTGCATCACCCGGGGCTTTGTTGAATGATTTGATGATGTAGGCTTATTACTGGACAGGGCATAGTACAATGACTCACTTACAGTTGGATACTTTGATGTGTAGTGCCTCAATTACCATACATTCTATAGCATGTAATTAATGGCCCAATGTTGCTGTTTTTATATCAATTTCAAATAATTTCTGGGTAACAATTAACTCACTGTAATAGATATCCATTAAAATGGGCAAAAATAGCTTTTTAGCAACAACAACAATTCTCAAGCAATAATTTTGCTAGGACTGTCTGTGAATCGTCTGAGTGGGGAAGGGAAAACTGAAAACTAGCTGTTATTGGCAGAGAGGTTTGGAATGCTCTTTGTTATGGTGATGTCACCATGGAAAGCCGAAACTCCCGCCCATGCAAACCTGCTGATTAGAAGGTCCTATGTAGATTGTATTCAACCAGCAACTATCAGGAATAACACTGATCAAATGTTCTCACACTTTTACAGTGTTAGTTTCATCAGCTGTTGTACAATATGATAAAAAAAACACAGGAAAAACATAATTTTGACTGCACTGGGCCTTTAATAAGTGCTGCTAGGAACATGTGGAGTATTTTTCATATTTTGTCCTATACAGTGATTCATTTAATTGGCCATATCCTATTACCTCGTCTAACTCTCGCCCCCTCTGCTCCTCTGCCCTCCCTCCCCCAGACCCCCTGCTTGGTGAAGACTCTCTGCTGGGCTGCTCTCTCATCTCTCCCCCCTCTGGAGCCTCTCTCTCCTCTGCTCCCGCTTCCGCTTGCACTGGGTCTGTTCTGGATGAGTTTGACCTGGTATCTGCGGGTTGCACCCAGCTTCTGGCAGGTAAGGCACACCCACAAGCCTGAACTGTGCAACTTAGGCCTACAATTGGAGAAGCGGGAGCGCTGCCATTTACACTTGATGTGTCCCGTAGGAACACCTGATTAGGTTATCCCTGTTAAGAGTTTAGCGCTAGTCACAACTACGCTAGCAGGCTCTACTGACTTGCGTTCTAACTCTAAACCTCTGTAGCTGTGTGGCACACTGCCTCCTATTCCTCCTTTATCTGTCTCACTTTCTGCCATTTCTTATTCCTCCTTATTCCTCTCCCAAACACCTTAACCTCTCCTTTCTCTGGCTTCCTCCTCTGCAGACTCCTCTGATCTCCTGATCTCAGGCTTTGAGCCTGCGCCCAGTGCAGAGACGGGCAACGAGGATGAGTTTGACCCCATCCCTGTCATGGGCTCCAAAAACTCCTCTCAAGGTAAGGACGGCGGGGTGTTCAAGGCAGCCTTCACACAGAGGCAGGGCCAGGAGTAAGGACAGAGAGTGGGTTTGTGGGCCTTGTCCCACACTCTGAGATGATGATGTCATACTGTTCCTCAACCATGGTCAGATGAATTCTGGGATTGATTCCAGTCAGTGTCCTCAGTAGTGTAATTGAACCTTGCTCCCTTTCCCCTCTTAGATTAATCTGAGTAGCCATTCTCCCTGTGTGTAGTTATTCCTTCTTCTAACGACGCTCATAGATTGTATTTGGAGAGCAATTCCGCTTACTTCCTGTCTTTCTCTCTGTCTTCTGTAACCGCATCTTCTCTCCCTCATTTCCCTGGCTTCTCTGTCTGTTCTTTATTCCTTCCCTCCCCTGCTTTCTCCCCCTGTTCTTCCTCCCCCTGCTTCGCCCTGGCCCACCCCCCTGCCCCCTCGTCTCTGTCCGGCCAGTTTCAGGAGGCCACTCTCGCAGTAACAGTGGCAGCTCTGAGTCCAGCCTGCCCAGCCTGGCTCGCTCCCTGCTCATGGTGGACCAGCTCATCGACCTGTAGAGGGCGCTGGGGAGCCGGGACACTAAATAGAGAGAGAATGGGGGGATGAGGGGTTTGAGGTAGAAGTAGTGATGGTCGAGAGGAGAGTAGACCCCACCATTAATCGTTACACCCCCGTTCCACTATTCATTTCCGTGACGAACGCTTGTTCCATGTGAGCTCCACCTGTGATTCCAAACACATTGGGCCATTGTCCTGTTCGTGTTTGTCCAATGCCTCTGGTATTGATTCCCATCATGTCCACCACTTTTCTTCTTCTGCCCTCTCATTTCATTTATATTCTCTTGCCCTTCTGCGGTCATCATGGCAAACGAGGTCACGGCACGCTGCTTCTACCTTTTAACGTTCATGGCACACCAACTTCTTCTAACTTTTGCATTCATGTCACATTAACTTCATCCAAGAGTTCTTCTTTCTGTAGACCAGGGCCAAATGTTTCACCATGTTTCCTTCCTATCTCTGGTATGTCTATTAGCAGTGGCCAGTCACACCACATTGTGTCCTATAAGGAACCAGAGAACTCCACTCTTGTTGTTTAGTAGTTGTTGGCTAGTTGTTATGCTGCGCAAGTAGTGTTGTCTCCTTTCTCCAGTGTTATATTTCACTTGGATTATCATTTGCGCACATTCGGTAACACCAATATCACACCATTGATTTATTGTACACATTTAGAGGTATATTGTATACACTTGAAAAAATGTTTGTCTATCTGCCTATTTAATTATCCAACTTTCAGTGGCTGTGTTGTCAGGGCTTGTGTTTTAGCCCTTAGTATGAGGTATCATAGCTTGTAGGTGGGATGTCATATCTAAAATGACTGAACAGTCCACCAGCTGTTCCCGAGGTTGAGCCTTCCTTATCTGTGGATATTAGCTAATAAGTTCTTCAAAAAGCGAATAAGTTCGCACCAACATAAGACTTTAAGCCTACAATAACAGAAATGTTGAGCTAACATTCCCAAAAGAAGCTAAAATGTGCAAACATGAGATTGGCTAGTGAGTCAGCTGCACATTGACAACATTGATGCTTTTCTAAAGCATTTATTTGCTTGTTTTTCTTTTCTTGACTACATGTATACAGACAGTCAATATCATCCCTTTCATTTCAGCCTGTATGTGCCCACGCAATCATTCCATTCCCTTCAAACATGATTCCCACAAAACTTCCATTCCTACTTGTACATAGATCCTATATCATAGTCATTTATTGTCCCTACATAATGTAAATGTATGTATATCTGCAATACCCACGGACTCTGATCCAGTGATCATATGTTTGGTTCCTCATAAAGTAATTGTTAAAATGTGCTCTCTTCCTCATGTCATCATAGCTTACATTGTGAAAAAAATATATAGAAAAGTTTATTTCATATATAGCTAATGTTAAATGTGAGTATGAATAGTGTTAGAGAATGAATGTATGAAATGAATATCAGTCTATAAATAAAGATGGATATATATAAATATAATTCTTAAGATTACTATTATAGAAGAATACATTATATGTTTTTCCTTTTTGTGCAGCTGTGTTTGAGAATCTTTTTCTCACCATATTTGTCCCCAGATTACTATTGTGACATTAGCAAAACATACAGTTATGACAATCTTAGCTTTGATCTGTTGAGGGTTGGGTAGGATTTCTCCAAGTAGCATCTGTTTACTTGCCTTCACCTACGGAGGGTTGTATTGTAGACAAACTAGTTTGTTGTGCAATGGGACCACTACACAGGGAACTTTACCATGTCTTATACTGTACCATACTTACTCACGCTGTACAAAGGCAGAACTACAGTCTTCGCTGCAATAGTGCTACGAGTCCATGTTTTCGCCGCACAGATTTTACATGATCAAAAAGATGCATATCGAAGCATGACCGTGTTGTTGAATGTTCTGGTGTGTTGGTAGACAGTGTTATCATTGGTGTGTGTGTGTGTGTGGGTGTGGACATACAGTAATGGAACTCCTAGCCAGTCTGAGTCGTTGGATGTGATGTGGTTGTGTTGTTTGAACTCGCTGCAAAAACAGTGACGTCAACAGTGGTGTTGGTGTTGACTTCGTCATATTGAAAAGCACAGGCCGTCTTGAATTGCGCTGAGTCACTCTGTTGCCTATAGAGGAAGCAAGCCACTGTATCTGAGAGTAGAGCATCACTGGAGTCAGTGATCTGATCGAATATGGTGAACGGAAATAAATAATTACTCGTCATATCATGTTGTCACTGTACTGTAAAGTGTGTAATGAAGTGGTTTTGTATCAGACAGAGGGGCAAGCCCTACACAGGACTCAACGCTACCACCACATACACGTCAAGATAGGACTGCTCCCTATGCTGTTGGGTATTTAAGGAATTGCAGCTAATTGCTCTACTACAGTATTCGAAACAAGGCATGCCAAGCAACAACACTTACTGACAATATTTTGAAATCCAATGTTGTGTCCCATCTATCTCAGGCTTTTGTAGACATGTGCAACCAATGGAAGGCTGAAGTTCGCATCTTATCCCCCCTCCTCACACAACTGTTCAGTCTAGTCATCTGCAGATAGATACTCATGTGGCTATTGACCTATGCAATCCTTGCTTCTTCCCGTAGACACCACTGTGCTGTTGTAAAGGTCTTGCCCTCCAAGTAGTTAAACGTGTGTTGTTGTGAAAAACAGAGAACCTTCATGTTACCCTGTTGTTTTTGCCAAAATTGAAAAAGCTGTTTATGATGACCATTGTTCTCCTGAATGTTCTGGATCCCTGTCCATCTCTATGACACCCAATCCTGCGTCAGAGCTGTGATTTCTGTGTGCACCTTCTATTTTTGTGAGATAACTAAAGAATTACAAAGAAAGGGATGTCGAATAAATATATACATGTGAATGTACTGTTGTGTGGAGTATTGATTGAGTGACTGAAGGGGGTTGATTGCTGAGAATTTGATGCCCTCACAGTGGCAGTCATGCGGGTAACGTAATGGATTGGCAGAGATTGATTCAGAGGGAGAAGAGCGACACATTTTAACTAACTGTTGTCTTTAAAACACACGCTTCTACTCAAGTACAATCAATTCAATCATGTACTGCAAATGAATCACTTATTTTCATCTTATTTCCACATGCACAGCGGTTCAATTACTCATGTTTGGGAGATGACATTCAGAGTGGATTTCATAGTTTCTTGTTTAAGAAAATATGATGGAAAACATGTATTCCTAACCCTTGCTTTGAATACATTCACACACTTTGAATTTTGATAGGGATAACTCATATACAAGAACTGACACACAAATACTTATTCCCATGGTGGCCCTCATGTCATATTAACTCTTTAAATTGGGGTTAACCCCATTAACCCTCCGCTTCTGGAACTGCAAGCTAACACTGCTCTCTGTCTGCTCCCTGTCTGCACAGGTAAGACTGCCTCTGTGGAACTGCATGCCTGCCTGCTTGCCCCTCTGTCTCCCCCTTACTCTAGCCCAATAGGTTTCTTTTATATCCTACTATTAAAGAGAGGCACCATCAATACAATTACTATTATCATGGAAAATTGCATACAGAACATACTCTTTGGATGATTGTATTATTTTCCTTCCATCTGTTTTTCATTTTGTTGCTTTACAAAACATGCTTTGATCAGTTGTCACTGAGTTCAATGTGACTATAGTTTTTTTCATCCTGTTCCTATTTTTATCTGATTGTATAACTCTTGTTTATCATGTCTTGTTTTTATTTATTTTCATTTCATATAAATAAATAATTTCAAGTAGGTTATGTTGTAAATATCATACTCTAGCCCAGGGGTGTCAAACTCATTTTGCCCCAGGGGTCGCATTCAGTCTTCAACAAGGTCTGGAGGGCCGCACTGAAAATGTGTTATATTTCCTCGGCGTCAACATTTGCAGAAAATAGTTCCATATCCATCGTTTTTGGAATTTTCTATGCTTCCTGACTGTCAAGCTTTCATTTTGGTGATTTTATTAGTGAGCTGGACACGGTCAAGTCACACGCCTTGACTTTTTCCATATTTTGTTGTCTTACAAAGTGGGATTAAAATGGATTTGTAATTTTTTGTCAACGATCTAAACACAATAATCTGTCTTGTCAAAGTGGAAGAATCTTTTGGTTGTTGATCATTGCTACACAGCCATTTTCAAGGGTTGCCCTAGATTTTCAAGCTGATTTAAATCAAAACTGTAACTAGGCCACTTAAGAACAATTAATGTCACCATGGTAAGCAACTCCAGTGTATATTTGGCCTCGTGTTTTAGGTTATTGTCTTGCTGAAAGGTGACTTTATCTTCCCTAGGATTTTGCCTGTGCTTAGCTCTATTATGTTTTTGTCCCCCCCCCCCCAAAAAAAAAAAAAACTCCCAAGTCCTTGCCGATGACAAGCATACCCATAACATGATGCAGCCACCACCATGCTTGAAAATATGAAGAGCGTTACTCAGTGATGTGTTGGATATTCCCCAAACATAACGCTTTGTATTCAGGACAAAAACATATATTTCTTTGCCACATTTTTTGCAGTATTACTTTAGTACCAAACAGGATACATGTTTTGGTATATTTTCTTCTGTACAGGCTTCCTTATATCATTCTGTCATTTAGGTTAGTATTGTGAAGTAACTACAATGTTGTTGATCCATCCTTAGTTTTCTCCTTTCACAACCATTAAACTCTGTAACTGTTTTAAAATCACCATTCGCCTCATGCTGAAATCCCTGAGTAATTTCCTTCCTCTCCGGCAACTGAGTTAGGAAGGACGCCTGTATCTTTGTAGTGACTGGGTGTATTGATACACCACCAAAGTGTAATTAATAACTTCACCATACTCCAAGGGATATTCAGTATCTTCTTTATTTTTACCCATCTATCAAAAGGTGCCCTTCTTTGCGAGGCATTGGAAAACCTCCCTGGTCTTTGTTGTTGAATCTGTGCTTGAAATTCACTACTCGACTGAGGTACCTTACAGTTAACTGAATGTGTGGGGTACAGAGATGGAGTAGTCATTCAAAGATCATATTAACCACTATTATTCCACAACATCTTTACTCCTGAACTTATTTAGGCTTGCCATAACAAAGGGGTTGAATACTTATTGGCTCAAGATATTTCAGCTTTTCATTTTTAATTAATTTGTCAAAATGTCTAAAAACAAAATTCCACTGACATTATGGGATATTGTGTGTAGATCAGTGACACAAAATCAAAATGTTATCCATTTTAAATTCAGGCTGTAACACAATAAAATGTGGAAAAAGGAAAGTGGTGTGAATACTTTCCATTATGAAATTTACACTGTTTCGATTTGGTTTTACACCTTTTTAAAGTATATTGAGTTCATTCCCCGCCCAATTGTATCTTATCTATTAGAGCTTGCTAGTTCTCAGAAAAGGATTACCCAACTCCCCTGTTCTCACACTACTTTTCCAAGCGGCATGGGCAGCTTCAGATTGCTCTCCTGTCTGATTGTGTTTCAGACTTACCATTCAGAAATTGAATTGAAACATTTTCATCTTCAGTGCCGACTACAGAAGTAACTAGTGTATGTGGATGGAATGTCTGTCATGTTTAGACTATGATTTTCCATCACATTCTGTGCACACCATAACAAAACTAGTCATTACAGTGTGCAATAAACTTTCATGTTAATTGTCTTGACTATCCTGGTTTAAAAGGCCTGTCAGTCTGACTGTTGTCCTCTGTACCCTACAGACCTGCAGAGGGAACCTAGCAGCTATGAGACACTACCAGGTTCCTCCAGGACTGACCGCTCTGGACTGGCTGTTGAAGAGGAGCACAGACAGAGACTTCCCTTTGCCCACAGCAGCACCATTCCCCCCTCACTGTATCCAGATGAGACAAACTCCCACCTGTTGTCTTCTAATTCCTCTGACCAGCCAGTCAAGCCTGGCCAGCAGCAGTCCCAGTGCCTCTCACCTCATACACAGCAGCACCCAGTCCCCTCCCCTGATATCTTCCTGCAGGCCCCTTTCAGGATCGCAGGGAAAGAAGGGAGAGATGTGTTTACTAACTCCCCTTTTCCTCTGGCCCACAAGCCTGCTCTGCCATCCGATCCTTTCCTCCAGGCACCCTTTGGGAAGAAGAATGAAATAGCTGGGGCTGCTGTCATTGTCTCCCACCCTCCACAGCCCAACAAACAGCCCCCCTGCCAGGTCCAGGTCCAGCCAAACACCCACCATCCCCAGAGCCTTTTACATCCCAGTGTCCAGGGGAAGGCCCTGTTCACACCTGTTGCTGCCCCTCAGCCCCTCATCCGGCAGGCCCAGCCCAGGTACTCCTGGTGCTCGGAGGTCCCCCTGCCCCAGCAGCCTGTCGCAGCCCACCGCGTGGTCTCCAGTGTGGGGCAGCAGGCTGCTGTGGGCTCGGTGGCTGTGGGCCCGCTGCACTCCTGGACCATTGGAGGCAGAGCTATAGTTGATCCATTCCTCAGGGCCCCCTTCCACCCCAGATGCCAACAGGGAAAGCCTTGATATCTGGACCTCACCCAATACCAAATCTGGCCCCTCGCCAAATGCCAAAGCTGGCCTCCATCTAGTGCCTGCACCTAGGGAGGGAGCTTATCAGCGGAAGCCTGTCCCAGGCCAGCCCTGCTATTTCCCCCTGTGGAGGGCATAACCCAGTACCAGCAGCCCTTTTGTAAGTGTGCAATCTAGATTACTCTGGCTCCCTCTGTTGAGGATGTGATAGGTAGACTGACTGTTTTTCTGTACAATTGCAGTATTAATGATGACTCGCTCCATCTTGCCCACATTCAACTTGTTTTTTTACACCCTCGTTCTACCTCAGCTTTCTGATTCGCCTTCAGATGAAGCACTCTGGTAGATTGCAGCACTTCATTTGCAATTCATGATTATTTCCAGGACATTGAACTGCTAAAACTATATTGAAAATAAAGATTTTCCAGGATCCTTTCACTCTAAAAGTACTAATGCCAATCTACATTTTCTGAATTTGAGAAGTCTCCCGTGTAAAAGGAAAAGAAGAACTAGGGATAGTGTTTTATTTGTTGAATGGTTTGTGTTTGTATACTTACTGTATATATTTTTTTGTTAGATATTGTTTTCAACACCATGTTAATAATATACTAATGTCGTGTAAATGACATTGCTTTTATATGGTTAGACTTGATATACTATTGTAGTACTAAATTACATCAGTTGAGTATTTGCCTGATGAGCTGGTGACATTTGACTGTGTCAAACGTGTACACTACCGTTCAAAAGTTTGGGGTCACTTAGAAATGTACTTGTTTTCGAAAGAAAAGCAATTTATTTGTCCATTTTAAAATAACATCAAATTGATCAGAAATACAGTGTAGACATTGTTAATGTTGTAAATGGCTATTGTAGCTGGAAACAGCATATTTCTTAAGGGAATATCTACATAGGCGTACAGAGGCCCATTATCAGCAACCATCAGTCCTGTTCTTTGTTTCTAGCCATTTTGAGCCTGTAATCTAACCCACAATTGCTGATGCTCCAGATACTCAACTAGTCTCAAGAAGGCCAGTTTTATTGCTTCTTTAATCAGCACAACAGTTTTCAGCTGTGGCTAACATAATTGCATAAGGGTTTTCTAATGATCAATTAGCCTTTTAAAATGATAAACTTGGATTAGCAAACACAACGTGCCATTGGAACACAGGACTGATGGTTGCTGATAATGGGCCTCTGTACGCCTATGTAGATATTCCATTAAAAAATCAGCCGTTTCCAGCTACAATAGCCATTTACACCATGAACAATGTCTACACTGTATTTCTGATCAATTTGATGTTATTTTAATGGACAAAAAAAAGAACGGTAGTGTATATATATTCTACTTCTATTACTCCATATTATTTAACCGTTGTTTTACCCAGTTTCCTTCTTCACAGGTCAACATAGGTCTTTAAATGTTTTATAAAAATACCTGTTGTCAAAAGCAAGAGGACTTTGTAAGGCTTATCTTAAAGGATACTTTGCTTTGGTCCATAACCATAGCAGCAGTCTCTATGCATCAAAATGCACTCTAACATACAGTAATGTTATATGGAGCCCAACAGACAGCAGCTTGACACTGAGTATACCAAACATTAGGAACACCTTCTTAATGTTGAGTTGCACCCCCCCCTCCCCCCTTTGCCCTCAGAACAGCCTCAATTCGTTGGGCCATGGACTCTACAAGATGTTGAAAGTGTTCCACAGGGATGCTGGCCAATGTTCCTTCTAAGCTGCGCGCGGGCACGCAGCTCCATGGGACTGCCACACATAAGAAATATCAGCGCGCGCAGAGGCACGAGATTTAACTTCACGCAACTTTCTAGTTTTCCCTGTTAGTTAACACTATCAACGTTTCCTCTTACTGTGGGAATTGTGATCGCATCAACACAATATTAGCAACTTTCAATGCAATATACCGAAACAAGACGAACTATGCAAGACTTAGTATGCAAAACTAACTTTACAAGCGATTTTGTTGTAGGCAGAACGCATCAGAGTAGGATTCTATTACATTGACAGGCACGACTCAGGACTGTACTCTACACAGACCGGTGCGCCATAACCAATCAGAGCTGCAGTAGGCCTATATGCAAATAGACCATTGCCATATATGGGTCTGTGCCATTCCTTTGAACTGGACTGTTTTTACAGCATCAGCGGTCATGGGTAGATGCGCTTGTTTTGAGATCAAAGCGAGAGCTACATGAAGCGACGTGTGCACATTGGTACATTTGTTCATATCCTTTGCTAGTTAGTGAGTTATTAGCCCAGTTATAGATCATTTGTAGTCAGCAATGGGGGAGTGATTGCTTCCTACAAGAGCACAAAACGTGTGCATTTCTAGGCATCTTTGAAAAGTCAGGTAAAGAGCTTTTTTTTTGTCTAAAAGGGGCAGTGTTGTATTTTGAGAAAGGCTTGAATAAGCTAAGTAGCCAATAGGCAAAGGGTAGCATAATTTGTCTGATTCTCTGTAATAATGCTATGGGAATAATACATTTTATTTTGTAAAGTGGTTACTTGCATCAAACACAACATTTTCAGTCACCACCTTGTCTCAAGGACAAGTGTGTAAACAGGTTAACGTCAAGCCCTTTGTGTTTTTTTTCAAATGTTTCATGGAATGTAGGCCTACATTGAACACCACACATTGGCTGCGACTGTATGCTGAATGATAGAACAGCTATTTCCATGTTAAAATGTTATGGGATGCATTTGCTCCATTGTTTTTGATGGTATACCACTCTGGTAGGCCTACATTATGATCAAATAGCCACAGTAGCCTACTTGACCACTGTTAAAACTAACTTAAAGCGGGTATAGCCTCAGTGTTCATAGTAAACGCGCGCCGGAAGTTGCACAGAATTTTCACAATGTTGAAGTTTGCACTCAGCAGACCTGAAATTTGCTCAATTATGATAAAAAATTTTTGGGAACATTGATGCTGGCCCAAGTTGACTCCAATGCTTCCCACAGTTGTCAAGTTGGCTGGATGTCCATTGGGTGGTGGACCATTCTTGATACATATGGGAGACTGTTGAGCGTGAAAAACCCAGCAGCGTTGCAGTTCTTGACACAAACCGGTGCACCTGACACCTACCATACCCCGTTCAAAGGCACAAAAAAAGTTTCTTGCCCATTCACCCTCACACACATACACAATCCATGTCACAATTGTCTCAAGGCTTAAAAGTCCTTCTTTAACCTATCTCCTCCCCTTCATCTACACTGATTTGAAGTGGATTTAACAAGTGACATCAATAAGGGATCATAGCTTTCATCTGGATTCACCTGGTCAGTCTGTGTCATGGAAAGAGCAGGTGTTCCTAATGTTTTGTACACTCAGTGTATATTGTTCGCCAATTTCCCTTTAATGCATAATAACGTAGTTAAAGAAATTATTCTCAAACCTTGTCACCCTACAGACCATAGGAAAAGCATCTCAATGTACCACCCAAAGACAAAACATTTAATAAAATGGCACATAATATTGATGAAGTAAATGAAAGACTTCCTTGTTGAGCCTTACATTACACTTCAGATTAGGAACCTCTGACCTATCATTTTCAAAATGTTCCACATCGGATTAATACTGTATGGATGGCGCATGCTGTCATACATTTTCTCTCACTCTGTATGTGTCATTTTGGAGGAATGCTGTACGAATTTTTAATACGCTGTCATGTTATCTCTCACTTTGTATGTGTCATTTTGGAGGAATGCTGTAAGGATTTAATATGCTGTCATGTTATCTCTCTGTATGTGTCATTTTGGAGGAGTGCTGTACGAATTTAATACGCTGTCATGTTATCTCTCTCACTCTGTATGTGTCATTTTGGACGAATGCTGTACGGATTTAATACGCTATCCTGTTTTCTCTCACTCTATGTGTCTCTATTCCTGGTATTGATCTATGGAGTCCATTCATAGGAAGGGGGTGTTGAGGACAGCACAGCAGTCTGATGCTCTCACCTGTGATTTACTGTTCAACAACACCCTCACTGGTCAATGCTTTGTTAACAACCACACTGTGCTGTAAACAGAATGAAGGATTTTTCATGAAATGATGTAGTAGGCCTATAATGGAGGTTTATTTTTATTCAGTCACTTTACATGTCTACCAATCTGATTAAACATTCATGTTAACAATATGCTTATTTAGACATTTGTAATTGTACTCACTGTCAAGTGGAATTCTTATCACTAATGACTCAATTGTTTGGATCATTGTTTGGATCCCAGAGTGAACGGTCAGAAGGGTATTTTACCAAATGTAGTCCGAATACAACATAGAAGTGAAGAGTCTTATCTTTGATTGCGCCAGTGTGTGCAAGCATGTTCTCACCATTTAGGAGATTGCATCAGGAATAGCGGTAGTAGAGTGATCTTACCTGTCTGTCACACAGAAGGAGTTGATCCAGGGGCAGGCCACAAGAGGCTCAGTGCTCCCTCGAGTGTGTCTGCCTGGTGCCTAACCTTCTCTGCCAGGGCTCTCTGGCATCATGGTTGGCCTTTGCTTTTACTGCCTCCAACCCCTCTGCCACCAAGTTGAGCTAGTTGCCGTTGGCTCTGTGATGTGCCACAGGCATGCCTATATGAGGTCACTCCCCACAGGATTGTGGCTTTGTGTGCTTCTGTGTCATTCTATAATAGCTCCATTAACCCATTTAATCCCATCGGTCACAATAGTGGAAAACATGTTTGTACTTTACAGGCTCTAGAGAAGTTAAAGTTGTACTTATCAAAAGTAAGTCCTATATTATGCATTATTAATGTGTCTAGTATGATTCAGAGAAGATTCATATGATTTCTCAAAATGGTCACAAGACCACAAGCATTCATTTCCAAGGTGTATTTTAACAGAAACATTTGGCACCAGAAGTCAGTATTCAGTTGCTTAAAAAACAAATACATTGTTGAAATGTTCAAATATTGTCTTTGTAAATATAATGTTAACATATGTGCCTTCATTTTCGATACATTGCGTCCTT